TGTTGTACTGGGTAAATGATCCTTGGCGGGTGGAGAGAGCTTGTGCTGACTAAGACGACGAGAGGGAGAGATCAAGTTCAAACATCCAACGCGCTCTCACCGCCAGAGTCTGCGATAGCTTCCTTTTTTTGACCAATTTCCGTGTTTTTTTTTTAACCTTGAGAGTCTGGTAAGCCTTGACTTAGACTCACCTCCCCTTAGTTCCCCGTCCAATCATTTCTCGTCCTGACATCGTGCTGACCCCCCAACCCCTCTAAAGGATCTCTACCCCACCGAACAACACTTGCTTCCTTCCCCTCTATTATTTGATACTGCCCTGCAGCCGCCCTGGCACCACCATATCCTGTCCAGGCGGTTCCCATCGACCTCCACTCTTGACTCTCGTGTCTCAACCCCCATTCCGTCATCAGAGGCGACATCGCCAGCCTTCGCCGGGATGTCGATTTCGGTACAAGAGCTGGACAACACGGTCCGAGCTTTGTTTGAAGGCAAAGGTGCCGTGGTAAGTTGAGCCGTCCACTCTACACTGCTTGGATCGCAGAATCCATGGATTCTCCATATCCCCCAGTGAAGCTCTGGGGACAACAACACTGACACTTATAACCACGTCTAGCAAAACCAAGCACAACAGACTTTGACAGAAGTAAGCTCGCAGCCCCTCCACAACGTCATATGAATTGAAAGCTAATTATCCCTGTTCTCTCCAGTTCAAGCAAAATCCCGATGCCTGGGTTACCGTGGGCAATATCCTCCAAGAGGCTTCATACCTTCAAACCAAATGTGTGTTTTGAGTCTTTGGCAATCTCCCCCATGTCTGAAAATGCCTGGGAAAAAAAGGAAGACAAGCTGACCTCAGTAGACATTGCTCTCCAAGTCTTGGACAATGTGATTATGACCCGGTGGAAGGTCCTACCGAGAGACCAATGCCAGGGTAAGAACTACAATGACCTACGTGGTTTTGTCCCCGCATACTAAGATTGTTCTTCATAGGTATCCGCAATTTTATTGTGAGATTTATTCTCGAAAACTCCGAATCCGAAGAGAAGATCCAATCGGAGCGCCCTCTATTGAACAAGCTCAATCTCGTTCTGGTCTCCATTCTGAAGCAAGAATGGCCACACAACTGGCCAACCTTCATCAACGAGATCATTTCCTCTTGCCATGCCAGCCTTTCGATTTGTGAAAACAACATGACAATTCTCCGTCTGTTGTCGGAGGAAGTCTTCGATTTTTCCCAAGATCAAATGACCTCTGCCAAGGCACGGAACTTAAAGACCTCCATGACCTCGGAATTTGCGTCGATCTTCCAATTGTGTTCCGAGGTTCTCAACACTGCAAACCAGCCCAGTTTGGTGAAAGCGACCCTCGAAACTCTCCTTCGATTTTTGAACTGGATCCCGTTGGGCTACATTTTCGAAACCCCTATCATCAACACTCTCCTCACCCGATTCCTCGGAGAGCCCGAGTTCCGAAATGTGACTTTGAAGTGTCTGACTGAGATTGGTGGCTTGCAAATTGGCACTCCTTACAACTATGACGAACGATTGGTGCACATGTTCACCGAGACCCTCACCACCGTTTCCAATGTCATTCCTCTGTCCCTGGACCTGAAGCAGACATATGCCATGAGCAATGGAAGAGACCAAGAGTTTGTATCAAACTTGGCCTTGTTCCTTTCGAGCTTTTTCAGTGCTCATCTGGATGTATGTTCCTCCTTTTCTCTCACGCCGTCTTCTTTTCTTTTCCTTTTTTGTGTGCTGACTTTCTGCTTTCTTTTATAGCTTATCGAAAAGTTGCCTAACCAAGATTACCTCACGCACGCACATTTCTATCTGATTCGGGTTAGCCAGATCGACGATCGGGAGGTGTTCAAGATTTGCCTGGACTACTGGACAAGGCTCGTGCAAGAACTTTACGAAGAGATGCAGCAGCTCCCAATTACCGACATCAACCCGCTGGTATCCATGAGCGTTAGTGGGTTGGCGAACGGTGGCGCCCCCAATCCTACTACCTTAGCGAACTACCCATTGCGCAAGCACAAGTACGAGACTGTCTTGACAAACCTTCGCACCGTGATGATCGAGAAGATGGTCCGCCCAGAAGAGGTCTTGGTTGTTGAAAACGACGAGGGTGAAATTGTGCGTGAGTTCGTCAAGGAAAGTGATACCATCCAACTTTACAAGACGATACGCGAGTGCTTGGTCTACCTGACCCATCTTGATGTGGTCGATACGGAGACCATCATGATTGATAAACTGGCGAAGCAAGTTGATGGAACTGAATGGTCGTGGGTGAACTGCAACACGCTGTGCTGGGCTATTGGTTCTATCTCGGGAGCCATGAACGAGGAAACCGAGAAACGTTTCCTGGTAACCGTAATCAAGGATCTCCTTGGTCTCACAGAGCAGAAGCGCGGAAAGGACAACAAAGCCGTGGTGGCGAGTAACATCATGTACATCGTGGGGCAATATCCCCGGTTCTTGAAGGCTCACTGGAAGTTCCTGAAGACGGTCGTCAACAAGCTTTTCGAGTTTATGCACGAGACACACGAAGGTGTCCAAGACATGGCTTGTGATACGTTCATCAAGATCGCCAACAAGTGCAGACGCCATTTCGTGGCACTCCAACCTGGTGAAAGCGAACCTTTTATTGAAGAAATCGTCCGAAATATGAGGAAGATCACCATGGACCTTTCCCCGCAACAGATTCATACTTTCTATGAAGCCTGTGGCTACATGATTTCAGCTCAAGGCCAAAAGGGTCTCCAAGACCGCTTGACCGAGAACTTGATGGCGCTCCCGAACACCGCCTGGGATCAGATTATCGCGGAGGCAAACCAAAACCCGGCGATTCTCCAAGACGCTAACACCATCAAGATCGTCGGAAACATCATGAAGACTAACGTTGCAGCTTGCTCCTCGATTGGTACCTACTTTTATTCTCAGATTGGCCGAATCTATCATGACATGTTGAATATGTACCGTGCTGCTAGTCAGCTGATTAATGATGCTGTTGCAAGTGATGGTAATTGATCCAATTCCACAGTTGATGAACTCCCCAGAGCTTTTTTCGACTAACACACAAACAGGAGCCATTGCGCCGAAAACCCCTAAGGTCCGAGGACTTCGAACCATCAAGAAAGAAATCTTGAAGCTCATTGACACCTACGTGGACAAGTCAGATGACCTTGAAATGGTCAATGCCAGCATGGTACCGCCGCTCATGGAGGCTGTACTGATAGATTATGCCCGGAATGTCCCTGATGCACGCGAGGCTGAGGTCTTGAATGCCATGACTACGATCATCCATAAGCTTCACGTATGTTCCTTCATCCTACTTATTTGACTTGAACCTTGCTAACAAGTTAATTAGAACCTGATGGAAGATAAGATTCCAGCCATCATGGACAGTGTTTTCAACTGCACTCTTGAGATGATCAACAAGGACTTCCACGAATACCCTGAGCACCGGGTCGAGTTCTTCAAATTGCTTCAAGCTGTCAATCTGTACTGCTTCCAGGCACTTCTGAAGCTCGATGCCGCGCAGTTCAAGTTTGTCATCGATTCATGCATGTGGGCATCGAAGCATGACAACCGCGAGGTGGAGAACACGGGTCTTACAATGTGCCTGGAGCTGATGAACAACATGGCCGAAACTGACCAGCAAACCTCGAGCATTTTCTTCCGCGAGTTCTACATTGCAATTCTTCAGGACGTCTTCTTTGTCCTCACGGATAGTGACCATAAGGCTGGTAAGTAGTGTCCTTTTGTCCTTGATATGAAGCAAGAAGCTTACAACGTGATCTTTTTAGGATTCAAATCCCAAGCCATGCTTTTGTCACGCATGTTTTACTTCGTGGAATCAGGCAAAATCCAGGAGCCCATCTATTCCCCCGATCAAGCCCCGCCTGGAACTTCAAACAAGGATTTCTTGCAGGATCACATCGCAAATCTGCTTAAGAATGCATTCAGTAATCTTCAAGAGTAAGCTCCCTCGGTGTCAGTTGAAACCATACAAAGACCGTAACTAACTTTTCACCCATCAGAGCACAAATCAAGCAGTTTGTACTCGGACTGTTTGCATACACCGATGACCTAAACAAATTCAAGACTCACCTTCGTGATTTCTTGATTTCCCTGAAAGAGTTCTCCGATGACAACGCGGAGCTGTATGCGGAAGAACGGGAACAGGCGGTGCGTGATGCCCAGGTCGCCGAGCGCGACCGAGCCATGAAGGTCGGAGGCCTGTTGAAGCCATCGGAGATGGATCAGGAGGATGAGCTATGACTGGACCAAGAACTGCGCACTGAGTTTGTTGCTGTCTCTACTGGTTCCCCTGGACATGAGCAAGAATCACGGTTGACCTCCCGGAATGACGGCCTTGACGGCTGGTCCTTCTACGAGCTCTAGATCATGGGAAGCCATGTGTCGCTGCAACATTAGGAGGCTTTGCTCTGGAAAAAATGTGTGTGAATTTATCCTTTTATCTTTTCTTTTTACCACCCCCCTTGGTTGGCTATCGGGCATGCGAGATAGACCCATTTCCTGCCTGAGCGGATTCTTCGAGGTTGGTGCATCACGGCTCTACACGGAACGGATTTACCAATTTTATCCTACGTGTACTTTGCCTATTCAAGGCGCGAGCTTGTTGATAGCTTTTAACGTCAAATGATTAAAAAACATCTCCAATTCAAAGATACAAGAATAGTCCGCCACTTATGTGGCCTTGTGAAGTCTTTTTTTGGTAGTCTTTTTTGGTAGTCTTCTCAGATAGTCTTTTGAGATGTCTTTTGAAATGTATACGAAGGCCGCGAAAGTACCAACCGTACAGACAACTTTCCTATATATAACCAGGGGTATAACCCGGACATAACCAGGGACATACATATGTAGTTATCGTATGTTGTATGGAGAGATCGGAAGGCGGTGAATCCTTATCAGTTGCATCATCAGAAAAAGTAGCCTTCAGAGTGATCTTATGATTCTTTATTCCTTAACTCACCTCACTCTATATTCCATCCCCATCACGATGTCTCGAACACGCCAGCCAATGGGATCAAATTCATTCCAAACCACTACAGAGTCCTCACAAGACTCCTCAACAGCCCGCATTCCCACAACCCTCAGATTACGAGCAGAGGAAGCACCAACTGACACCAGCGAAGCAACATCGTCTTCTCGGCGAATCAGATGGAGTGAAGATGTTGTAGACAACGAGGGCATGGGCAAAAAGAGCTCAAAGGGTATGGATCTAATTTATCTATTCTTATCTACCCTAATTACTCCCCGCAATCAGCAACAATCTAACCCGCCACCAGTCTGCTGCATCTACCACAAAGCCCGGCCAGTGGGAGAAAGTAGCTCAGAAGAGTCCTCATCCAGCTCATCTGAGAGCGACAGCGAGAGTGAAGACGACCGTCGCACCGCCAGAGTCAACCGGGCTCGCCACACACACTCACACGGAGGGCGGGAACAGCATGCGTCTCACCCTGGCGAAGGGTGTTGCCCCGAGGATCACGGCTCTAAACCGAAACGCAATCGCAGGAAGCCGAGTCCGAATGCATATGAGAAGATGCCAAAGCCGTCGAAGAATCAGAATCAGAATCAAAGTCAAAATCATGCGCGGGGTACTTGATCTTGTTTTTTTTGGGGGGGTTTTCTGATTGGCAAGGCAATGCGAGACAAGGCGATGAGTCGGAACTGAGCAAAGCCTAAGGCTTGAGTTTGGGGTCTGATGCACAGCCATTTTCGAAACCCTCCCGGCTGGGGTCGTATATTCCATCCCTCCCTCTGTGGGTGAGTTGACGAATCTATGTCTATGCGCGGTTGTATGACATTTGCACGACGCTGGGACAACCCAGCCGGTGGGTGGCTTGCAAGAAAACGTACAATGGCATGATCAAAGAGTCAGAGGAAGGGCATGCCGTGCGGCGGTTGAATGGTCATTGAAAGATGAGATGAGAGCTACTTGGCCTACTTGAAGCATATAGAGGGAGTTTGGTAAACAAGATAATTAAATTTGTATTGGGAAGATCGGGATCGCAGTGAGGGGGTATCTGAAACATGACTGCAGCCTGGTCTGGTCTATAATGATTGTACATAGGCGAAGGATAGAGAAATCCTGTTTCTGCAAGCGCTAAAAGCAGACTTTACTTCATACCATCATGCTTTTTCTCCTTGCAGCAACGCGCTGGCCACGCCTAACGTCACTGGTATCCATTGTAGCACCGTTTGGTCCAAATGAGTCTTCATCTTCTGGAGAGTCGCCGATTGGGGATTGTGGTTCACCCTGGTCCACGTCGTATTGTGCCATGTTTGCTGTTGTACTTTTGGGGTTTGACGAGTGACGTCGAGTCTGACGCCTCGAATTCAATGGCTTTTGAGATACTTGGGCTGAGATATCCGCCAGACTGTCCTCGATCTCTTTCTTAAGGCCAGAGCTTGGATTCCCCGCATCGCTGTCGTCTTTTGGGGTCGACGATACCTTGCGTTTTCTACGGGAGACCATTGCTAGCAGCTGTTCTGAGGATCCATCCACGGAAAGATCTGAGCTCTGCGCCGCAAGAGTGAAATCAGCCGGGAGACTGCCATGAGGCTGGGTGTGGCCGCCCTCTGCGCCGTCCAAACTTTCCCGACCTGCCAGGAAACTGGAGGACCTTCGCGATCCAAGTGCAACAGCATCGATCATTTCCTTGGTAGGGCGGCGCATCTTGTCCCGTAGGTTAGGCTCTGCATAGCTAACCACAGCACCACGACGTCGGGAAGGCCGAATTGCAGACTCTTCCTCCGTCCTCATTGCATTCGGATGTGGTGACAGTGCTGACTGGCGTGGGGCTGGCTCTTCCAGCTGGGGAGGGGCAGAGCGACTGGCGCGCTTTTCTTTGTTTGTAGGGGCGATTCTGGACACTCGCGGCTTTTGATTGACGGTCTTGCCACTGAGTTTCTCGGCATCCTTGACTTTCTGTGGCGAGTTGTTATTCTCGTCACCCTTGGTACACCTTTGCAGAAGCTTAGAGTCCTTGTACGAAGACATGCGGGCCTTCTTGGGAGAGCCTAGATTGGAATTTGCACTCTCTGTTCCGGTTGTTAGCTATACTGTATGGAACTAGAAGACTGCAGAACATACTTGGTTCGAGGACCTTCCGCACAGACAGGACAGGGGTTTTTGATCCTCTTGTCACTTCAACATGGCTTTTAGTGGGTGACTGGTCTCGCTGTGTATCTTCGAATGGGTTCATTTGCTTTTTTGGGCTATGGCTGGGGCGGGTGAATTGGAATTCATCTTCGTCGACATTAAGGTTGGACGTAAACCTGTCATCATCTTCGGGTATGTATTTGCGCTTCGTCGAAACCGATGTTGCGTGCTGTGTTGTATCAATGGGCGGATTTGGTTGTCGTTCTGTTGGCAATGGGCTAATTTCAGGCGCAATAATCGAACTCGACTTCTTTTTCTTGCGTGTCTCGAGAGTTGGAGGAAGTAATGGCTCTGGTTCTTCGGGTATATCATTGTTGATCTGGCTTCTGAATGTTGATTCCGGTGGCGATGGACTTGAATGTTCGATGGGTGCATCCTCTTCCTCCGGCATGAAACTGAACTGTGGCGGAGAATCTAGAATGCTGTGGTCGTCGTGGACCAGGCTGTCGAGTTCCTGGGGCCTAAAGAGGGTGTTAGCAACTTGGAATAGCCCGAGAATCTCGAAGATCCTTACTCTAGGGTCCGCCGAGGGTAATATTTGTCCTCGACAATGGCAGGAAGCCTTCCATCTTCGCCTTCCATCATGTCTTCTGTCCTAGGTCTCGACTCTACCGCCTGCTTGGGTCTATCAGACTGTTCGTCGCAAATCTTGCCCACCTTGCGGGGTAATGAGCCCAAATCTGCCGCCAAATTGCTCAACTCGGCTAGTTTGGCATCTAGCTTGGATTTGATGTCGTATATTCCATTGTGCAGCATTTTCCCTGCTTCCAGTCTTTCAGTTTCCTGGGTGAGATTGATGACCTGTTTCCGAAGCGACACATTCTCCGAAAGTAGATGCGACACTTCCGACTCTAGGCTGCGAATACGAAGAGATTGCAAGGAATTCACCCTCGCGATCTCACGGTTTTGTCGCACAAATCGTCGCTTCACTGGATAGAAACAAAAGAGGTCTCACGTCAACTGCTAGCTCTAATCTTGTCACACAGTGCTAGATTGCGCGAACTTACAAGCATCAATGGACTCGGCAGGAGCCGCATAGTCATTCAACCGAGCCATGGTGTAGGCTGGGAGGGGCAGCGACCACTGCGTAATCAGATGGATTGCAAGACAATCCTGGTGTGCAGGTGGAATGGACTTGAAGTTGCTATCGATTCCACAGATTACACACCAGGAAGTGACTGTGTGTGTTGGGTGTTGAGTCTCGAGTATGGGGATACAAAGAGAGAGAAGGTAAACAGCGACGAATGCCAAGCTCTTGTTGATGTTTGTCCGCTTTTGGCTTAGCCCGTCCCGTGTTTGGATGACTCAGCGCCCCTCCCAAGTTGGGCAGGTTGGGGTTTGTCCAGCAGGTACGCGGAGACTTTGACGTTTTTCGTACCTTGTACTCCGTACCTGCTTCTTCGCTACAACTTTCCCATAATGGCATACTCCTCACGACCAACTTCAATGCTTCCAGGTGCTCCTGGTGGCTCATCTATGCGCCAGCCCAGTGGTTCTCAATCACAACAATCTTCGGCGTTGTCGGCCCGCATTGCGGCCAAAAAGGCTGAGCTAGAGAATCTGCGACAACTACGTGATCTGAGTGGAACATTGGCGATTCAGATGCAAGCTTTGGATAATAAAATCTCCACGCTAAAAGATGGCACCGAAGGTTGGCCCACCTATCCCTTAATTCGATCTGGTCGCTGACTGTACCCTGTTAATTAGCTGTTGCATACGTGCTTTCCAACTGGGATAATGTTATTAGGGCCATCACTCTCGCCTCGAGTAAGCGCTACTTTCTAACCTGGAGATTCCATACTGACCTTTTTTTTTTTGTGTCTGTAATAGGCAAGGCAGGCGGACTCTACGAACCTGAGTCGGATAGTAAGAATGTGGAGAAACCGCGCAACGACCCTCGGCTGCCATCATCGCTGGTTCGCATTCCAGCTGAACCACGTGATAAGACTGGCGAGTGAATCAGCCAGTGACGCATCTCTTGATCCCTTCGACTCCAGCCACCCGGCTGAAACACCCTGAATGATCTCATCTTTTGCGGCACGCCTGAATCATTGGAAGTTCTATAGGCACCCCCATGCACTGGCTCGATATTTCTCTCCGGGTTATCTCGCCCATATGTATGTCGGGCTACTCCATGCAGAATTGGCGATTGCATTTTGAGAATGCACTCGGACCTACTTGGCTTATGTCAGTATGACCAATGAGTGGCCTTCCCAAAAAAATGATTATCAAAAGAAGAGAAGACTTCAAGGTCCAATCATGGGGCTTCTAGTCATCTTCGCAGACAGCACGATTTTATCTGAGAATCAACGAGAATCCATTTCTCGCGTGACCAGCTGATTGCTATGCAGAGTTCGCATGCAATAAAGATGGTTATCTCGAAATGGCAGACGAATCAGAAGACGAGGATTAAGAAGATCGTTTCTTTTTTCCCCTCACTCCCTCAGTTTTAGTTCCTTTTGAAACTTCTGCACTACTGCAAAGATAATCATTGGTATAGGAATAGCTGCATAGCAGGAATATGACTGGATACCTGGATGATGTGATTGGCGCATGATAGAGTGTAGCTCACTATGTACACTATAGTATGTATGGGCAATAGTTACTCCGTACAAGTTAATAGAGTCAAGGTTTTTTTTAAATTTTTTTTTCAGGCATCATGAGACCAGGGGAAGAGCTGAATGGCGCTATGATGCCGATCCGAGGAAAATTCTTATTACCAGTTCGAGGTTCCTGCAGATTTTTAGGGGCAAAAAAAGGCGAACGGACTCTTAGGGGCCTATTTAGGTACCTACATATGTACATATGTGGATATATGTACGGATGTACTGTATTTAAGTACATGGTACCTTGGGGGGGGAATACTTAGATTGGAAGTACTACTATTAGTTGGTTACATATAATTTATATAGCGTTATGATAAGTGCGGTACTTACATATAGAGTACCTTCAATACCTATATCAATTGATTCTTTTTCTTTTTAAGCGCCCGAAGCACAACAATTCCAACGCCCCCCTCTTTTTCTTCCAAACGTGGACTTCATTCGACATGCGCGATTATATTTCCCCGCAATAGCCGTGTGGCTTTTGTACTGTGTACGTTGTGACATATTTCTATTCATTATTCGATTTCTCTTTTATTCTAAGGACGTTGCCCATTCCATTACGTGGTATGGCATGATCGCTGTGTGACACTTCGACAATGTCAGTCTTATGAGGTGATCTTAGGCTTCTTTACTTCTTCACTTCTTGACTTCTTGGCTTTTGAGCTTTGATCTTTTTCTTCTCTTCTATATACAATCCTCATTATCCTCATCCCTAAATCCCTCAATCTCTCAATCTCTTAATCTTGCAACCTTATAACATTACAACATTACAACGCCCCAACCTCAATTTGATTGCTATCATTACTTTACCTTAACCTGAGAACACCGTTTCTCTCATATACAATCATGTCAACTGAATGGTCTTTGGACTTCTGCCTGGTCTGTGACCGTCAGACCCTAGGCGCTCCCTACTGCTCCCAAACGTGCCGCCTAGCGGAGCTGGACGAGGTATCGGATGGAATGTCACGAAGATCGAGCGCAGCATCTACACATTGGTCTGAGATCAACCAGGCCCAAACTCAAATCGAGGCCGTCAATGCCCCGGACGCCCATAACCCCTCTCGAATCCTATCTGTCTCCTCATCTCAAACCTCACTCTCTTCGCTGAAGAGCAGCACATCCAATTCCTCCAATGTGGCCGACCGGCTCCAGGATGAATTGCGCGATTATGCATCTTGCTTCGACCAAGTCCGCGACCTGAAACGGCGCATGACTACCACATAATTTCAATTCGAATTCGAATTCGAATTCGAACTCGAACTCAAACTCAAAATTTGTGCTTCTCGAGCCCATCCCACATCTGGATGATACCGAGGGCACCCAAATGCATGCAGCCCTCATGCTGCTTTCTGATCATTTGCATATCCTGGGTATCAGGCGTTGTTGTTGGAAAAGATAAATTATTTCCTTGTCTATTTTTTTATTTTTATTTTATTTTCTGTTTTTCTTGTGGATTAACCTGCCCACTTTGGTCTTTCTCACGAACCTATACCCCAACTGTTATATATATATCATGATCATCGGAAGGAGTTGAATCCAGGCCAAGGTGCCTCATCTAATTAGTTATCTACCAGACTGCCTATAATCAAAATTGGAATTTTGGATGATATTTTGAAAATAAAAAGGAAACACCTTCATGTTCTCAGTAGATCACCAAAGCCCAAGCCTGGATTGGGTATGTTAAGTGTTGTCAGGTCAATTTCCCACGTCAGTCAAGGTGGGTACCCTGAGGAATGTGTCCGATGGTAACCATCCAACCGGGAATGCTGGATATATCAATTAGAACCACGACTCCTCGACTCCCCGAGACAGCAAAGCTGTATGGAACCAGCAATCCGAGATGCAAGCACAAGCACCAGCTCTAGCCCAAGACCGCCACATACCCCTCGGATATCCCTCGGCCGGATTTAGCTATGTGCAGAAGCAAATCCCTTCCCACCCAACTTGATGCCAAAGACGATGTGGCGCCGTTCACTACGAAAGGACCTTGGACAGAGCCTTTTCATTCTTCGGCACGAATCGGACCTTATATTTTTGAGGAATTGCCACCAAACTAGTCGGATCCGAGTTACCCCGGAGAGGGTGGCAGTCTGTTTTGTCATGAGGTTCAAGGCGGAAGCTGTTAAGGGTGCGGATGAAGACGAGGTAGAGCTCGCGATTGGCTAGCAACGAGCCGGCGCACATCCGGTAGCCCATACCGTACGTAAAGAGAGGCGCGTCGGGCTGCTCGAGCCAGCGCTCGGGACGGAACTCATCCGGGTCAGTCCACACGTCGGGGTCTATGAAAGGTTAGATGTGTTTTCTGGATATACTGTTTAGGTGGATATCAAGTTTGACTCACCCATGTTGCATGCCCAGGCATTCAAAAAGAACACTGTGCCCTTGGGAATGGTGATTCCCTTATATGTGATATCCTTGATTGAGGTGCGAGGAAGTGCTAATCGCAACACTGTGAAGAATCTAGGGTATTGTGGTTAGTTCAACGCCCATTCATAGCTCATTGGCAGCGATGAAACCAGAACATACCGAAGACATTCCTTGACCAGAGCTGCAATATACGCACACTTCTGATCATCGTCAGAAGAACACATGGGATCATCCTCGCCATACATCTCCTGGATGGCCCTCGCCGCCCGATCCTGGATATCAGGACGCTGAGCTAGCAAACCCAGACTCCACGCAACCAAAGTGGTGACAGTATCAAGGCCGCCAGAAAGCATAGTCAAGCTAATCGACGTCAACTCCTCACTATTCAGTTTAGCCTCCTTGTCCATAATGACATTGGCCTGAATACAAGGCTTATGCGTCCCCTTTGCCATGCGATCATCCAAGTCACTATTAAGCGCACCGAGGTATTTATCACGACGGATTCTCATCTCGGCGGCTTTCTTCGAGTTGGAGCTAAACGGGTTCAACCGTAGGAGAGGGATATAATCCTGCATGTTTCCGGTGGTGCTTCGGAACCGACTGATCTCTTCTTCCACCTCGGTGATCTCATTGAACAAGTCCTCTTCTTGCGACGCAATACGCACGCCCCAGTTCAGAGTCAACGCCAAACTCAAGCTTAGACGCTGAATCATGGGCATGGGGTCCACTGGTGTCTTCCCGTGATTTCCATATCTGTGCAGCTCTTCCACAAAGGCCTTTGACTCGACATCCAAGTGTGACACGTACGTATCGACAGAGGGGCGGTTGAGAGCCGATGCGGCGCCCTTTCTACGTCTCTTCAAAGACTCGCTGTAGGGCGAGGTACCGATGGTCGTTCCGGCAGTATTAGAGACAATCTAGGCGAGTTAATCATCAGTTTCAGTTGGAAATTTTTTTTTTTTAGATAAAAACAAAGCCAGCACATGGCACAACTCTGATAACCAACCTTATGGAAAGTATAAGTTTCGGGCCTGGAGCTCAAGGCCTGCGCATTCTGACCAAAAAGCACCTTTGCCGACGCAGCAGAGTTGACCACAACGACGGGGATGTTCCCCAGCTGGATCTGATAAACGGCGCCGTGTTTTTTCGACCAGAGGCGATACTGCTCCGCAGCGTCCGTACGAATCTGCGCCAGGTTTCCAATCAACGGCAATCCGCGAGGACCCTTCATACCCTTGACACGGGCGGAATCACGAATGAACTCATTAATAATGATATAGAGGATGGGAACGAGGAGGGCTGCGGTGGCTATCGAGTGGTAGGGATACTGAATCACGCTGCTTTGCAGCGATGCCAGGATAGCGGCGATGGCCATGGTGCTAGATGGTTATGGGATAGACTCTTGGAAGTCTATACAAACATAGTGAACATATCATAACATGTAAACCTATCAGAGCTGGGGGATATATAAGTTAGGAATATAACAGCTCTAAGGGGGCACTGAATGGAACATTTCCGTGTCAAGGTCAAGCATCTTCTCTAGTCTACCCCACACTACCCCAGGTCTGGCCAGGTTCTTTGCAGCTATGTTCAGCCGAGGGTGTTCCGCACTGCGGGATTATTCCGATCACGGGTCTGATGCCCTATATATATATATATATTGCATCGGTTTACCGAGGTATGATATACATATCATATTTTAGTAACTGGTTGTTTTCATATTGTTTGGGTCAAGTTGAGTATCATCTCTGTTTTATATTGTGGTCTTAGTAGAGGTTCACTTTGTTCCTATGTGATAATTGTGCTTTTACATCAAATGTTATAAGTAGAAAAGACGACTGCACAAAGTATGCTTTTTACTGCCTTCGCATAAACCAAAGAAGACATAAAAAAAATGACATCTAAAAAGAACATTCAAAAATCACATCGGATGATGCTTACATATAACATCCTTAATACCATCTTGGTCCAAATAGATCGGATTATTAAAGTCTTACGTCGTCAAGGACAGAGGCCGCATAAGCGGCCGACTATTCTTGTACATATTCGTCTTTCGCGAAGACCCTGTTGGATTTGAAAAAATTGTAGACTGGGGTATAAGCGCTCTTATTTGAGTGGACTTTGTGGGATATCCATATCCACCAATGATAGAAAGATTTATTTTCCCAGATGTTTTTTTACAAGGGGTGTTTCTCTCCGAGCATCAGGAAATGCTTCTGTTAGTTTTTGAATAGTATTTATATAGTTGTTTATAGTATGATATGATGGTCGAGACCACGCTATGTATTGTTGCATAAGGGGCTAGTGAAGATCATATCCACTCGCGCAAGGACTCCTTGCTTTTTTTAAGGCCTTCTAGAAACAAGAGCCTCATCCGCTAAATTTTCTAATCCATATTTCACAATTGGATGAAGATTTCATCGTCTTGTACGGAGTAGGCTAATATCAAGAGACATGGATGATGCCATTTTTGACCAAAACCGGAATCCAACCTTTAGGGATTGGCACAGTGGGGCCAAGGATAAAGAACAAGGATAAGGAAGATACGTGTGCACAGGGGGAATTGAACAATTCCAGCAAGTGGAGTAGATCCAAACAAGGTGTTCATAACGGGGAGCCCCCTGGGCTCCGTGGGCCGGATGGGGCGATATGGCAGTCTGTGACTGGTCGGTATTCATGGAGCTCTCAGTCAGGTGGCCACGAAGAGATTGATCGAGTCCAGACCCTTTGAGATAGATCTGCAGTCCCGGGGATAAAACGCGTCGGGCCTGGAATGACTGAACGGATGCAGAATCGGCTTCCCGACACCGTTTATACCATCTGAAAACATTGTAATCTTTGAGGTATCAGGGATCCCTTTTGGGAGAGCTGGAAGTTGAGATTTGGAAGTTGGAAGCTGCCCTGGAATTCAAAGGAAATTTCTTTGCGTCATGTGTCGGAGTAGAGACCCGGATGGAGTTCCCACTCTACAAGTAGCCAATTGGTGTGAAAATGAGAAAACAAGAGGCGCATATGGGACGTAGCCCCCCATCTCCACTGCCAAGTTGCTCCAATGGTGATCTGCCCTGCTCCCATGACGCAGAGCTCTGCCTGTACTCGTGACACCCCTGTATTCATAGTGGAAGGTGTAGCGATCAAGTATCTGGTACTCTGTACCTTGAAGATTATCGCAAATCTTGCCTTTCATAGATGTGTGCTGTTGCCAAGTTCATACTGTAGTTTTTTTTTTTTTTTTTTAAAAAAAAGCGAAATTCCCATAGCTACTGGTCTTCCCGCCTTTCGCCTCTCCCCTTCAGTTATTCCTCTCCCCTCAAACTTCTCTTGAACTCCTTTCCTCTCCCCAATTCTCCCTAATCATCCTATCTTCCTCTTTTGGCACATATTTTTTTATGAAGGAAGAATCCCGGCATATTTTGAACATTTAATCACGTTACATCACCGTACATTCGGAAAAATCGCAGATAATGGCCGCTCGGCACTCGCGCAAGCTCTTGAGACCTCTCCTTTACACATCCGCGGCCGCCGCCGCAGGAGCAGGTGTTCTCTACATTTCTTACCGTCCGCGAAATATTCCGGGTCTCGAAGCTCCTGCCGTTCCCCCTCCAGGTTACCGTGAGGGCAAGCTGGTCCCGCCCAGTTTCCCTTCAATCAAGTCTCGCCTCGAGCAGATTCAGGACCTCAAGCGCAGTAACGACGAGGAGGAATATGATTTGCTCATCATTGGTGGTGGAGCCACTGGAGCTGGTATCGCATTAGATGCCGCCACCCGAGGCCTGAAGGTCGCGGTGGTGGAGAGAGACGATTTCAGTTCGGGTACCAGTAGTAAGAGTACCAAGCTGGTACACGGTGGTGTCCGTTACCTTGAAAAGGCCGTGTGGGAGTTGGACTACAACCAGTGAGTTCTTTTCCCTTTTTTCTTTTTCCCAAAATATTTTGTGGTCAAAATGACCGCATCCCCGCGCATCCCTGCTCACAATCGCATCGCAGATATGCGCTAGTGAAGGAGGCTCTCAGAGAGCGCAAGTATTTCTTGAACACCGCTCCCCATCTGTCATCATGGCTGCCAATCATGGTGCCTGTTCAGAAATGGTGGCAGGCTCCCTATTTCTGGGCCGGCACCAAGGCCTATGACTTCTTGGCTGGTTCCGAGGGCATTGAGACCTCGTACTTCCTAACCAAGAGTAAGGCCATTGATGCATTCCCCATGTTGAAGCGTGACAACATCATTGGAGCAATGGTGTACTATGGTGAGTAGCGAACGCGGACTCTGCGAATAAATGATTTGGGCTAATTTCCGATAAGATGGTGCACACAACGACTCCCGCATGAACGTCTCCCTCGCCATGACTGCTGCGCTCTACGGTACCACCGTAGTGAACCACTTGGAGGTCACCGGACTGAACAAGGATGCATCCGGCAAGCTGTGCGGTGCGCGCGCCAAGGACATCGTCACAGAGAAGGATGGCCAGGTCGCCAAGGAGTTCAATATCCGCGCCAAGGGTATCATCAACGCTACTGGTCCCTTCTCTGATTCCATCCGCAAGATGGATGAGCCCAATGTCAAGGAGATTGTGGCCCCCAGTGCTGGTGTCCACATCATCCTGCCTGGTTACTTCAGCCCCTCAAACATGGGTCTAATTGATCCTTCCACATCGGATGGACGTGTGATTTTCTTCCTGCCGTGGCAGGGTAACACCATCGCTGGTACCACTGACCAGCCCTGTGAGATTGAGGCCCAGCCTCAGCCCACTGAAAAGGACATCAACTGGATTCTTTCGGAGATTCGTGGCTACATCGCCCCCGATATCACCGTCGATCGAAGCGACGTCCTTGCTGCCTGGTCTGGTATTCGCCCCTTGGTGCGCGATCCCAAGGTGAAGAACTCGGAGGCTCTCGTCCGCAACCACCTGGTGACCGTCTCTCAGTCTGGACTGTTGACTTGCGCCGGTGGTAAGTGGACTACTTACCGCCAGATGGCCGAGGAGGCCGTGGATGAGGCGATCGACGTGTTCAAGCTCAAGCCCCGCCAGCTCACCACCCTTCCCGACATCAGTGGTGTCGGCGGCAGTGGCCTGGTTGCTGACGGTGCCGTTCTCGACGGTAGCTGCCAGACCCACCAGGTCCGCCTCATCGGTGCCCACGGTTTCTCCAAGACCCTCTTCATCAACCTTATCCAGCACTTCGGTCTCGAGACTGACGTGGCCAAGCACCTCACCGAGTCGTACGGTGACCGTTCATGGCAGGTCGCGGCCTTGTCTTCCCCTACCAGCGAACGTTTCCCCGTGCGTGGCTGCCGAATCTCCCCAATGTACCCCTTCATTGATGGCGAGATCCGCTACGCCGTCCGTCACGAGTATGCCCAGACCGCCGTCGACGTGATTGCCCGTCGCACCCGTCTGGCTTTCCTGAACGCCGAGGCCGCCCTTGAATCCCTCCCCACCGTGATTGATATGATGGGCGAGGAATTGCAATGGACCACCGCCCGCAAGGATGTCGAGTGGAAGGATTCCTTGACTTACCTTCGGTCCATGGGTCTGCCCAAGAGCTTCATGGGCCTTTCGCGCCATGATGTCCAGAACGGCCGTGTTAAGCAGGTCGACGATACCGAGCGTGCGACTTTCTCTCGTAATGGTATGTTTTTGAAACCTGATAAAACAATTCAATGAACCACAGTGCTGACCATCTTAGAACCTCCCGCGGACATGATTGAGAGTGATGTACGTGCTACTATTGCAGCTCCTGCTGCAGTAACACCCTCGCTCAATTAGATGACGTGTGGTATATATAGACCGGGCTTGTATAAATAGAAGCGTTCCCTTTTAATTTTTTTTGGTTCCAATATTGATTTCCCTTCATTGACACTCTTAAAAACAGAGACTTTGACAAAAACCCTCAACCTCCCAAACCCCAAGACCCTATAATGACGCTTTCCATAAAAAAATAAACCCATTCACATTCGGAAAGTGCCACCCCGAACTTGCGAGTAGTTTCATTTCCCTCATTTTCCTCAATTCCCTCAATTTCCCTGGACTTTGTCAACACTCACACATCATGAACCCCAATCAGTCTGATGTTGATCTCCAACCGCTGAGCTTCGTGAAGCACAAGTTGGATCCGGATAAAGAGTCCGTCTTACTAAGGCCTGAGTTGGAGGAACAGGATCCCTTTGGAGATGAAAGCCAAGCTGGAGTGAAGTACAAGACCATGGCGTGGTGGTGAGTATTTCTTTTTTTTTTTCATGGGCAGAGCGAAGCTCATCCTCTCAACAGGCAAGCCGGCATGAGTAAGTCTATGCCTTGCATATTGCCCAGCTTTCTCTAACAGACCTGGTCAGTCATGATCGCAGAAACCATCTCGCTTGGTATCCTCGCGCTGCCCAAAGCGCTTGCGGTGCTAGGTCTTATTCCGTACAATCTCCTCCCCGTTGACTGCAAAGGCTGAGCTAACCTGTTTGTTTAGCGGCATTCTAGCCATCCTTGGAGTTGGGACAATCTCGACGTATACTGCATATACCATTGGGCAATTCAAATGCCGACATGTCCAAGTGCACAGCATGGCGGATGCTGGTCATCTTCTGATGGGAAGGATCGGACGGAGTACACTGGATGTGGCCCAGCTCATCTTTTTTGTGTTGGTGATGGGGAGCCATGTCCTCACTTTTTCGATCATGATGAACGTCCTCACTGAACATTCCTCCTGCACCATCATCTTTTCGGTTGTCGGTTTACTCGCCTCATTCATGTTGACCCTTCCACGGCGACTTGAGAGGCTTTCTCACATCTCCTCCGTGAGCTTTGTGAGTATCGTCGGAGCGGTTCTCACTGGTATGATTGGGGTCACCCTTGTCAAACAAGGACCAGTGCATGTCCCGGCCTTTTCGCCTTCGCTCAAAGTGCATGATGCGTGCCTTGCCATTGCAAATATTATTTTTGCGTACGCAGGACATGTTGCATTCTTTACCCTTTTTTCTGAGCTCAAGGAGCTTAAGGACTTCCCCAAGGCTCTGGCGCTTCTGCAGATGAGTGAAATAGTCTTGTATACGGTGGCTGCTATTGTGATATATGCCTATATTGGACCGACTGTCAACTCACCTGCTCTCAACTCTGCAGGACAATTATTTCGCAAGATTTCCTATGCAATCGCAATACCCACGGTACGTACCTTTTTCTCGTTGGCTTCGGATATGAGCTAACCACTGGATAGATTGTGATCGGGGGTGTGGTGAACGCCCATGTTGCCGTCAAGTTCATCTACGTTCGTGTCTTCCGGGGAACCAACTCGATGCATAGCCAGTCATTCATGGCGCGGTTAGTGTGGGCCATGATATGTGCGGGGCTTTGGATCTTGTCGTGGATCATCGCCGAGGGAATACCGGTCTTCAACGATGTACTAGGGCTTGCGGTGTGTACTACCTGTCTGACCCTGGCCACAACCCGCAAGAAGTACTAATCATTCGAACTAGAGCTCCTTATTTGCTAGTTGGTTTTCATTTGGTCTACCTGGGCTATTTTGGCTCTATTTGAACCGAAGTTGTTGGTTCCTGACCTGGCGACAGAGGGTGTTGTTTTGCTTCAATATCTTTCTGGTGTTTCTTGGATTTCTCATTGTGAGTTAAGTTCCACTCTGGTTTGCTCGATCAAATTAACTTACGCCACCAGTGCATTGTCGGGTTGTATTCGTCTATTCGGTCGATCTTTCACAACCTTCGCGAGAGTGTTGGGGGAGGCAGCTTCTCATGTGCCGACAACTCCCTATACTGAAGCAGCCTCACAGCCACAAAAATTATGATTCGAGGCGGGGGGAGGGGGGTGGGCAATTACACTTGGGGCACATCATTAGCGCGCTTGCAGGTACGAGGAACATAAGACGCAGGGAACTATCCAGCTACATTGTATATGAATAAATTGAGTTCTCCTGCACAGTTTAACGGATGTAGATGATGCCCAGGCAGCCGAGACTCTGCGGCTGCTACTCTTCAACGGCCAAGTGGACATGTGCCAGATATCACAAGGGATCCTTGTCCTCTCAGAGTAAAGTGTAGTTTCAGGGATTCCAGGGGAAACAGATGACACCATTTGGACAAGGATGATTGATGCGGAGAAAGAATAAGATTAAACTTCACTCGTCCCAATTGTCCTTTTAGGAGAATCAGGTCATACCCTGAAGTTAGAGATAAAAGCCAGGCTACAGTAGGTACCATCGGGCGGTACCACGTGATCACCTCGGAATCATTTAGGGTGGATATCACATTGTTATAAAGTATAGTTAACTATACAACTATTCTCAGTATCTATCGATTCAGGCCTTTGAAGCCCCGGTTAGTTTAAAAACCCAGGCAGTTCAGAGGTGTGCTCCATTCTATAAAATAAATGAGGACGAAAATAGGGGGCAAAAATAAGGAAAGCAAAAGTTGCCAGACACTATATGTGGATAACGCTACATAATAGACACTAACAGTACGGAGTACGTGGCTCATACAGGCGCGACACTAATGAATGACTCGCAGCTGGTACCCTGGGAGTTAGTGCCGGGGAATTGGCTGCAGCTAGTAAGGTCACATACCCGTTGGTAACACCATCTCGGACTAAATTAATATGCTAATATAGTAATTAAGCTAGAAGAATAGAGAAAATTAAATAAATTAAAAAAGTAAAGAAAAGCCAAAAAAAAATTCAGAAACAATAATTAAATAAAAAGCCAAAGAAGCGGGAATATATATAGCAAAGCCCGTGGCAAAAAGTAATATTAAAATGGTATAGGACTACATATGTACCTACCTAGGTAGGTAATATCCGCTTCCTACCTAGGTAACTAACAAATGATTCTCATTAACTAAATTATATTTTTAGCCTAACAAGTTCTCCCATATAGATTGGCTTCCCCTCTTTTTTGCGTAGAAGCCCGACGCATGTATTGTGTCCCAATCAAGACAGGGATCAGGACCAGCCCATATTCCCTGTACACCAAAGGCACCAAAGGGTGAGGAAAAGTGGAACGAACAACAGCAAGGCAGACATGCATGCCATCATCACACCATTTCCTCTAGAACTGGGGAGAAGGGTGTGACCAGGAAAACCGGTCCTTCGATTTGCTCGATTTGCTGTGTATTCAAGTCCCTTGGATTCGATCCAATCCCAATGATGCACCCCCCTCCCGCAAGGCAAATCCCGAGTCCATCGTCTTTTGCATTGCACGGACTGTAGAACAACCGTGTTGATCTTGCATATTTCATAAAATGAAGCGGTATATACCGGCGGGATCTGATTCTGGTTCTGGCTCTAGTTTCTGGTAGACTTGAAGCTGGAATGGCGCCATGGGATACCAGTACCAGCACCAGTACTATGCAGGTAGAATGAGATGGAGGATAGCAATGGGCCCCGTGATGCAGGACGTTGGGCACCTTTTGAACCCACACCCAGTCCCTGTACCGCGCAATTTCCAGAGACATCATGCGGAATCCCGGAAAAGAAAATGGAAGACCCTCTTGGCCAGTGCAAACATCGTGTACCGATATATAGGCAATTCAAGCGTAGCTAGTTGGCGACGCCATCGCAATTTGTGGTTCCTTGGTAATTGTTCCAAAAACGCGCCACGGCACTCTGGGCGACGAGTGAGCCACGGTAGCGCGTGGTAAGGAAGTAATTAAAGAGGGCGAACTCGTCTGGTGTGAGCACATAGCTATCTGGTTGGGCCTGGATGCGATTCCAGAGTTCGGTAATGGCAGCTTCCAGGACGGCGGCGGATTGGGCATTCACGGGGCCATCTTCGCATTCCCGAGCTTGTTCTAGAGCCTGTCGAATCTCCGGCCAGCTTTTAGACAGAGGAAGGTTGGGCATATCGTTGGAGAGGGAATGTGTTTAGGTGTTCAGCTGGGGTGTGCTGTGTTTGGGGGTTGTTGTTGAGGGAGTTTTCACGATTGATGTTTTTTTTTGGGGGAGGGGGAAGGGGGGGGAGTCTTGGGGGAAAAGGGAACATGTGCGCCGCGAGGGCTCGTCACAAGCGAAAAGGGTTTCAGGCCAAGTAGAATGCGGAAGAGATGAGACTGTGCATAAGACCAAGAAAATCCGAATCTTTTTTTTTTGAATAATTAAATGGGAACAGGTGTGGAGCAACGGGAGAGGGGGGGAAACCGGGCCAGTAGTCCCGAAATGCTATGTTTATAAGTGTGACATCCGATAGAAAGGTAAATGCAGATGGAATTAGCTGACTTATAGGCTGTGGGACGAGGTTCAGAAACCAGGTCGGACTTCGCCCCGAAATTGGAGTCAAGGAAAAGATAGTCCAAAGGAAGTATATGGTCTTGCCCTTTCTCTAGAGAGAGACTTGAATGGGACCACCATTCAAGTCTAGGAAGACACATAATCCATAAGGCCACAAGAGTGTAGTGTGCACTCGGGATTGCGCCGCGCTCCCTTGGCGTAACGGTTTTCTCGGGCAATTTTAATGACATGCTCCGGCTAACATCGAACTAAGCCGTCTAAGACCCAGATGAGACGGTGGAGACGGTGGAAACCGTTGCGAACGCTAAGGTGATTCGTCGATGAGTTATAGGGTTCAAGGGTCAGGGTCGCTTAAAGCCGTCGAATTGTGAGGACCCCAATGGTTGGAGGAAAGGGGGGATCCATTAATGGCCCCCAGAGCAATGTCCGGTGCATCAGTTAAGTGGAACCGGTTGTGGTCCTTGTCCTTGCGGTCCTTTTGAGGCTCGTGGGACTTGGATCCCCGAAGCATTCCAATCATTGCCGAGTTCGATATAAACACTGCGTTAGCGTGTTTCTTCCTAGCCGGATTTCCCACTTACACATGATTTATTCTTTTCAGATTTATCCAATTGGTGAATTGGTCTCGGCCGGTGATCTCACCATGCTTCGTGCCGACATGGATATGCACTGGCTTCCGAGACACAGTTTTCGAGAATTCAACTGATTCCAGGGGTTGTTCGTCCGAAACCAAAATGCCGTGCTTTTCGCTAGCAATATCAAAATCGCCGTCCTCTCCGATGCAGTCCGGTCACATAATCACATTCTGTATGCCCGAGGTCGCATTCAGGTGTTCTCTTTTTAATTTTATTGGGGGGTTTTTTTTTCTTTCCGGCAATGGCCTGTTTACCCATTTCGACAGAGGCAACGCGTCGCAGACATGAAATGACGCATTTGATCTGGCGAATACACCATTGTTTTTGGTCCAGTTGCGTGAATTAGGCCCTTCGGTATGATCTCGGCCGTTTTCCCGAATACGTCGAGCTTGACGAAATCACGCATATTGAGGGATGCGGTATCCCAAAGCCCTAAGAAGCAATCGAGATTGGAAATGGGATTCTGGACCAAAACATGGCCAAATTTCGAGAGCATGCATTGGGAGGCCCAGAATGCTAGACCGGGATATGCTCTTTTCCAGAGAGGCAGAGAAGTGCCTGAAGACAAAAACAAAGAAAAGAAGAAAAAGCGGGATGTGCCCGCGGGCCACACAAAAGCCCAACTCTAAATGTTTCCAGGGCTCCCAGGGCTTCCCCGGTTTCACCCTTCTTCCCTTTACACACTTCTTACTCTATTACTTTCTCTCTCCTTTGAACGAACTACCAACTCACAAGCACGCAGCTCTGGGTTCTGGAATAGCGATAATCTATGGGAGAAAGCGGCCTAACATTGCGAGAGCAAGAAGCACGTCTGAAAGCACCTGCTATGGCACTCCGAGGGATCCGGGCATTCTCCCGGTCTCGGCCGCATACAAGTATCATGAGGTCACAGAGTTATTGAATTCTGCCACGGTGAGCTGTATCGGGGGTTTGGATTTGTTTTAGTTAACTCGGAAACATTGACCCTGTTCACTGATACCAAACTCAATAGGACCATCCCAAACAAGATCTGCGCAGCAGAAGCGAGTTTGGATTACATTGCAAGAATTTCTCTGCGAAATGCAATTGTGTTACTGCCTCAAATAATAGGGTCAGAGCAGGATCCCAATCATCAACCCGGGATGAGGAAAGAGATCTTATGGCCTGTGCGAACCCCGAGGAAATCACATCCGATCTTTCACACAGAATTAACAATGTGAACATTCTGAGCCACTGATGGTATCATTGCCTTGCCTGACTATTCGTTTGAGAATTTGAGTCTCTTCCCGAACCAGTATCTTAGCCTGAAACAGCTTTCGTTGGCTGAGAGAATGATACTGACATGACACGTAATGAAATTATTGATCAATTGGCCAATTGCTTTATGAATTATGTCGTTTACCACAGAAGCTTATATAGTAGTATTATTATAAATATAAAGGTTATACATAGAAAGGTCGTTTTTACAATTTAAGCATTTTCCCGCTTTTTTCCGCCGTCTACCTAACAAACTAAGAAGGGGGAGAAAATATCTATAGAACAGACATCTAGAAAGACTATCTAAGAAGCCTATCTGAGAAGACTACCAAGAAGGCATATAAAAAAGACATCTAAAAAGACTGCCCCAAGCTTGACAAGGCCGCATAAGCGACTATTCTTGTTTGTTTTACATTCAATAGCCCAAGTCCGTCTTTGCTTGTGTTGTTGGCTCTTTCTTACGTTCCAAGCTCTCCAGGGCTAGATTTTTATGTTATAAAGCCTCGCACCTTTTGCTCGTTCTGCTCCGTCTGTTTAGCTACTCTATTGCATTCTAAAATTAACTATACACAGAATTACAGGTTCCGTACATAAAAACCAGGTAAAGACTGTAAACTCATATACTCCGGACAATATCAAAAGGCTCTTTCAGACGGTTCGTAGGATTTGAGCAAGCATATACTGCATCTTAAAACAAGAGTTATACAGTGTACTCAGTCTCTTTCTCTTGCTTTTTATACAAACAATAACTATGCTTTCAGTGCCGGGAGGCAGATGTGTGCATAGTATTTTAGCATAAAAAGCCAAGCACAATTGACTGGACCAAAAATCAGCCAAAAGAATTTCCCAAGTTTATTTTTCGACATTTCCGGGGATGAATACGGCCTCACTGGCTTCGAGCCCTGGAGCCCTGGAGATCTATACCGCTGACTAAGCCAGAGATAGTCCTGATGGTCCCAAGATAAAGATTCCCCCACCAGCGCCATTCCAACTTTTGACCTACGCCGATCACGAATTGCGAGAACCCGATTTGCCCGAGGTCGAAAGAAAAGTAGAAGGATTGGATATTGTCATCATTGTCACCATGGTTTTCTACTTTACATCGAATGTCGTCGAACCCTCCGCCTTTATTTATGTCGGCAAGGACAAATTCGAGAGTATGCCACCGACTTGGTCAACCGCCAAACTAGGGAATAAACTTTCTAACAATGGTATCAGACGAGGATCTCATAAAATATGGATTGGAAAATGATGTCTGGTATGTTCCCTGATATATATTTGTAGAACTTTTAAGACTGATATTCTTGCGCAACAGGGTCAGTCTTTCTCCCTCCGACTTGCGACAGCGCCAATTGTCCTAACACCTCTCGACACTTGTAGTTCCACGTCGACAATTTGTCAAGTGCACACGTGTATGTACGCCTTCGAGAAGGCGAAACATGGGACAACATCGCCCCGCCGCTTCTAGAGGACTGCGCCCAGCTCACCAAAGCGAACTCCATTGAAGGTCAGTCCTCGACATGAATCCAAGCATTTGGTACCGGTGGAGACTTACTTCTGGAAAGGAAACAAGAAGGACAATATCACCATTATCTACACACCATGGTCAAACCTGAAGAAAGACGGGTCAATGGCCGCCGGTCAAGTCACATTCCACAATCACAAGCTGGTCCGCAAGGTCTATGTTAAGCAGCGCGAGAACCCAATTGTCAACCGGCTGAACAAGACCCGAGTTGAGAAATACCCCGATCTCCGAGCCGAGAAGGAAGAGGATGCGAAGCAGAAGCAGCGCGGTGACCGCAAGACCCGAGATGAACAGCGTGCCAAGGAAAAGAAGAAGCAGCAAGAGTATGAACAGCTCAAGTGGCAGAAAGATCATGCATATGATGATATGTTCACGGATGAGAATCTGGAGGCCAGCAACAACCAGGACCGTGGTGAGGATTTCCTCGACGACTTCATGTGATGGACATGGCCGTATTTTCCGATGGAAGATAACCTTTTCCTGTGTGTTACTTTGAACAGCCAGCGAAGTGAAAATTATACCCTCTACATTCTACATATCACATGCTACGGAGGACAATTGATATGAGTACAACAAACCAGTCCTGCTCTTATCCCTTTTGATACCTGTTTTTATCTACTTAGGTCGTATACAATGAGATATAGTGAGATAGTGAAAGGGATTTACTAACTCCTGATGTCGTACGTAATGTCGGAAGAATCCTACGATTCTTTTTTTTCCAATGGACATACACCATAGGGGAATTCCCTTGGCATACTATGGGGAACTATAGGCTCGTAGTGTGCCCCATACGCACATAAGTAAAGTACGATAAAAGATCCAAACATATCAAGGTAGATACAGGCCAAATAGACCAAATTAAAAGTGGAAATAGAATTGAAAAGACCGAAAAGACCAACCCTGGAGAAGTGGAATGGAGGTTGATAGATTAATCATCTAGGCATAGGGCGGAAAGGGCGCTAGCCACGGGTGTTGACAGCTTACCCTGGAACCTTGGGAATTCACCATCTTCCTCCCCCAAGGTCTCTCCAAACACCACACAGCATGAGTGAGGGAAATCCACCGTCTGCTACACCAAGTAAGGGCATCCCTTTTGTGAATTGGAACCCACTGACCCCACAAAGGCGCAAAGTCCAAGAAGAACAAGAAGAAGGCCGCAAAAGCCAAAGCCGACTCCAAGGCCGACGAGCATCCAGAAGATGCGCCAGCCGATCACAATGACACTGATGTATGTGGTGAAATCCCCCTTGATTGTCATTACACCTTGCTGAGATCTCACAAGAACGAGCCCCATAATGCCAACGAGGACCCCATACAAGTGCCAGAATCCAATGGCGCCAAGCCCGACACGATAGATGGCAGTCTGCCAGATCGGTCTGTCAATAAACAGGAGCCCATGGCTACTAGCGATGCCCCCCAGGAACCGATATCCAGTCCGACCCCGCTTCCGATGACACCGAGCCAAAGGACCGATTCGATGCACTTGTTCGAGATCGCGACTCGTTACGTGCAGAAGTAGCCGACATGCGAAAATCACTGGAAGAGATTCAGTCCAAGCACACCGCAGACATGGAAGCCCTGCAGCAGAAATTGGACGACGCGGAGAGCAAAAAGGAGCAGGCGGAAACGCAGTTCCAGATGCTCCTGGAACGAGTCAATACCATCAAATCGCAATTAGGGGAGAGGCTCAAAGAGGATGCTGTGCGTGGATCAGAATTCACTACTCGGGCTTTTTGGCTAATCTTGCCCTATAGGAGGAATTGGCTCTAGCGCGATCACAAATCGAAGACCTCGAAGATGAGAACAACAACTTGAAGGAAGAAATCGATTCAAAGTCCACCCAGCTGGTAGAACTATCGGGCGATTCAGCAGAGAAAGAGAAGGAGCTGTCTACTCTTCGGGAGCGGACGAACTTATCCCAACAGAATTGGTTGAAGGAGAAGGAAGAATTGCTCGAACAGGAGTCATACCTCCAGTCGGAGTTTGAACAAGCGAAGGAGGCTATGCATAATTGGGAAATTCTTGCCATGGAGGAGCGATCTATCCGGGAGAACTTGAACGAGAAGGTCGGGGATCTGGAGGAGCAGCTCAGCAGCCTGAGAGATGGTTATGAACGAGCCACCCATGAACGCGACACCCAACAGTCAACAGTGGATGGCCTCCAGCGGGCTTTGCAGGAAATTCAATTGGCGCGAAAGCAAGAGCTGCGAGAGCTTGTCGAGAGCTCTGATTCTCAACTCGAGGACCTCAGACGCTCTCTGCGGGAAGCACAGAAGCAGGCTACTGACGCCGATAAAGGTCTGCAGAATGCCCAGGAAGAGATTGAGCGAGTCCGGCCATTTGAGAAAGAGGTCAAGGAGAAGAACCTTCTTATTGGCAAGCTACGACATGAGGCAGTCACGTTGAATGATCATCTGACGAAAGCCCTACGATTCCTGAAGAAAGGAAAGCCGGAGGATAATGTTGACAGGTACGTTCTTGTTACCTCAAACTACCTCAATTCCATGCTGACTCCATACAGACATATTGTCACCAACCATTTCCTGCACTTCCTTGCCTTAGACCGATCTGATCCGAAGAAATTTCAAATATTGCAACTGATCGCTGCACTCCTAGGCTGGAACGATGGTGAGTACTGCATACTGCAAACGAAGAATTTCTCGAGCCCATCTGATTATTGAAAATAGAGCAGCGTGAACAGGCAGGTCTTGCCCGCCCAGGGACCTCGAGTATGCCCGGGAAGCTCCGAGTCCCTGGCACTCCCCTCCGCACCCCGAGCACGCCAAACCTGGCAACGGAGTTTATGGACAATGGTGCCTCTAGTAAAGAGACGTTAGCCGAACTGTGGTCTAATTTCCTGGAGCAAGAAGCGGAGGTGGGTAATATGAATCCATCGCGACGAGGAAGTCACCAGGGGCCTCTCAAATGATAGAGTGCAAGAAATGTATGTATAAAGCAGGAAAGTCATAGAACTTTGGATATTGATACTTTGATACTTTGAATACCTTGTCCTTTCGATAATTGCCTACATGTATCCATATATGTACAGTTAGTTAACTAGAATGTATAGTTAGATATACACCCACATAATAGCCAGAAGCGCCAAGAAACTACGGGGCTAACCTTGGAATGATTTCTTCCGCCTTCCTAATAAATAATTAAGCTAAGCTGTATTTGGACGAAACAAAAGCCGTGGGCCAAATAATCACTTTATCCATTTTGAGTTCATTCCTTATATGCCTCTCTCGTCTTTTCGTGCCTTCTCAGCGTTCTACAGACAATTCGTCCGTGCGACTCACTCTGCATCTACAATGGCCTCCGGTAAGTAAAGATGCTTCATAGCAGAACATAACCCGTACGACATACTGACAAGGCCACTTTTTATACTAAAGCCTACCGCCCTATTGTGATTTCGGGCCCATCGGGGACTGGAAAGTCGACTCTGCTCAAGCGATTGTTCACCGAGTATCCTGATACATTTGGATTTTCTATCTCGGGTCAGTGCCAATACAAGCGACAAGGGGAGGGGTGGAACGAACTCGCAAACAGTTTTGCTCACACACATTCCCGGAATAGAAACCACACGATCCCCGAGACCCGGCGAGCAAGATGGCCGTGAGTATAACTTTGTCACAAAAGACGCATTCCTCGATCTAGTGGCCAACAACGGGTTTATTGAACATGGTTAGTTACACTGCTAGCTATAAGAAGTCGGACGTAAGTTAACCGGTAGAGCAGCTCAATTTGGAGGGAACTTCTATGGAACATCAGTCCAGGCGGTCAAGAATATCGCCGAGAAGAAGCGTATCTGCATACTGGACATTGAGATGGAAGGAGTCAAACAGGTGAAGCGGACGGATCTCAATGCGGTAAAGTGTCCTAGACAATCCGATAATGGGACTTTATTAATGATCTACAGCGTTTCTTGTTCCTTGCGCCACCTTCTCTCGAGGTGTTGGAGCAGCGCCTCCGTGGCCGTGGCACTGAAACCGAAGAATCTCTACAGAAAAGACTCACCCAAGCTCGGAACGAGCTTGAGTACGCAAAACAGCCTGCGGCTCACGATAAGACCGTTGTTAATGATGATCTGGAGAAAGCATATGTTGAGCTGCGGGATTGGGTTGTTGACGGTGGTAAGTTCGGTGCTGCGCAATAGTACAATAGTACACTACATTATGCATAAGGAAATGTGATTTAGTCGATGTCATGGCTAGCAAGGCGACAGCCCCGTTTGGTATCTTTCAATCCAAGAATAGAAGTTTCTCTCGTCAAGTTAATTAAGAAAACTAAGTACATGGAAAGCACCGGAGATGGGCACGAGCACTGGTGTGCCAATTCTCTTTTCCCCGGCAATACAGGCTCGATGGTTCTCCCGAGAAGACACAAGATGGGATGTAGGATACAAACGAAAACAAACGCAAAAGAAAGGAAAAATGGGATATCTGCAAGGGCCTGCTGGCGTCAAAAGAGGACAGTAAGTTTTCGGAGAGGGCCGTCGCACAACGGTCACAGCGCTCGCATCAGACATGAAAGATCACAGAGTTTAGTATCCGTTCATGCCTGTGCGCTGCGAGTTGCGGCTCAGCTCCCGGTCCGCGGAGGGGCTGATGGGCCGGCTGCCACCGGTGTGGCCACCGGCAGCGCTGCTTTCCTTCAGGGCAAGCAGCTGCTTGGCACGGAAGGTCTCGTAGTGGATCTGGCTGGTAGTCTCGACCAGATCCTGAAGGTGGGTGCGGGTCAGGAAGTTGCGCAGGTAGACGAATTCACAGTGGTTCTCGTCCTCGACGTTGATGACACCCCAGCGGTTCTGGCGGCCGCGAACCTGCTTGCCGTTGACAACAATGGTCTTCTCACTGCCGACAACGGAGAAAGGAATGATGTCCTGTAACTAGAGGTTAATATCAAACTATAACCGCTCTGCCTGGGTCGAGCATACCTTGATCTGAGCGTTGATAGCACGCTCCTCATCATCGAGCTCGTCATTATCGTAAGGGTACATCTTCAGGTTGTGGAAGGAGAACTCCTCCTTGATGCGCTCCTTGAACGCCTGACGCTCTTCGAGGGTGAGGGAGTCGGACTTGGCAATAACGGGAACAACGTTGACGACATCGGACAGCTTCTTCAGGACAACGATATCGATGGGCTTGAGGCTATGCGGGGTCAATGGGTCAGCCCAAAAGAGCTCCAAGAAAGCCAAGGAATGTGCGGGGCAAACTCACGCATGGCCGGAGGGCTGGATGAAGAACAAGCAGCAGTGAACACGAGTATCTTGGATGTAACGCTCACGCTGAGCGGTGAGTTCCTTGCGGAGGTATGCCGAGTGCTGATCCTTGATGTACTTGACAATGGGGTCCCAGCTGATCATGATTAGCTTAGACCTAGTAGCTGCAGCGTGATGGGGCTCAAATTACCATCGATCGTTGTTGACCTGGTCACCGTAACCAGGTGTGTCAACAATGTTCAAGCGGAGACGCACGCCGTTCTCCTCAATAACTAGTCACTCGTCAGCTATTCCGCATCGAGAACGAGTCCTCGATAATAAACGTACTGTGCGACTCTGTCTTGATCTCGGTGGTGGAGCGAACGGGCTCGGAGGGGGTCAGACGGCCCTTGGAGTCAATCAGGTGGGATGCGAAGATAGTGTTGATCAGAGTCGATTTTCCGAGACCAGTTTGGCCTAACGCGTGAGAGATTAGCTGATGATTTTATAACAGGGAGGTATTTCCCAACACATACCGACACACATGACATTGAACTGGAAGCCACGCTTCAACAGCTTGCGCTCGATTTGCGAGGTAATGCTGTCAAAACCGACATGGCTATGGGGAAAAACAGTGGGCTGTTGAGCTGAAGCTGCGGTGGTAGCGGCGGCCATTATGGAGAGATAGAGAGATTAAGCTGAAGAAAGACAGAAATAGAAGCCAATCCCAAAAAGACCCGAAGAGAAGAGAAGTACATATGTAGATGAAGCAAGAGCACCCCTTATTATCATCTTTCCGAACTCAGGGGTGGTCTATCCCTAATTGGGACTAGCGTACCTCCACGAGAAAACTACCATCTTTGCGCTTTTGCTTCAGACCTGTGATAGCTCCCAACATTATCAGCTGAGAACTACCTCCCCTTTTTCGTACTTGAACCTATTTCCACCATGGCATTGCGCCTCCTCCCTTTCGCTCCGGCAAACATGTCGCGCTCACTTCTTTCCGAGTCCCTCCAATTCCCCCGACTCTCTCGGTTCCTCCCGATCACACCTATCGCGACCAGCGGATTCCTACAACCGGTTTCGATCTCTCTCAATATTCCATCCCTCCTCTCAGATCTTTGGGATTCCGTCCTGCGCGCCGTTCCTAAGAAGAAGACCTCCCACATGAAGAAGCGTCACCGACAAATGGCCGGCAAGGCCCTCAAAGACGTGAAGAGCCTTAATAAATGCCCGGGCTGTGGCCAGATCAAGCGTGCCCACCTTCTGTGCCCGAACTGTGTCAAAGGTAGGATTTAAGCCCAAGCTGGAGTAACATATTTGGTTATTGCAGAAAAAGCTGACTATTCAACAGACATTAAGGAATCGTGGAGGACCCTGGACATGGCATGAGAGAGCACTGTAAGAAATAAGGGCTTGTCTTTGGGGGAATCAGGATCAACATTCGCGATATCCCAATATCAAGCCCAAAAAAAAAAGAGACTGTATTTCTAGAATTGGTTGTGGATACATGCTGCATGGCAACTGGCGTCTGGGTTTTGCGGGGAAATGTTTCTATATGACTTTATAACAGTTCGATCTAGTAGGTCGAATTTGAACGCTGTGATCTTTTCAATTTACATCTTTCTATGTAAATCCGAAAGCCAAATGGGCTACACTTGTAGATGTTATAGTTACGGCCGATAGAGATGGATGGTCCGGGTGGGAATAATCGGACATGTTCATGCTATTACTACTTTACTGCTCTATATATGTGAACATGCCTGCCTCTACTTGGTTCACTACTAGGTTTGTAGCTATGTAGTCAACCTTGGAAGACAGGATGTACTAGATACATAGTCAATAATACCAAGTACAGAGCGACACTATTTCAACCCTGATTAGCTTTAACAGCTTAATTATTACTTGCTATCCAATAAAATAAAAGACACACGAGTTAGTAAAGTAGATATAACACAGCACATATACATTGATTTGCCTGTGGTAACCATCACCTTCAAAAGGTATCAGCCGTAACGAAAAAAAGGCGATAAAAGCCCCGATAAAAGCGGAACAGGCCTTCGGGTCCCAACGTCATTGCTCCTCCGCAAGTAAAGTCTCGACACAGCCGTGAAAGAGCACGGCATCATCAGCATGGTAAGATCAAACCAAAAAATATTGGAACTCATTGCTAAGTGATGTTTTTAGTCGAAACAATACCTCTCGAGGGGTTCTGCGGACAATGGTGGGCTTGCCGATGCGCATATATCCTGGGTGACAAGTGTGATTTGGCTAATATCTGTTTTGCAGCGCACATAATTGATATCTTCTCGCTGGCTATAACAGACAAGCAAATTCTGTCTACCTCGGGTGCCTCGTCCATCAAAGTGCATTCCACCATAGACGCTGACTTCCCGCTGGTGCAGTCCATTGAGGGTGCCCACACCATTGGCTGCCATCACATCGTGACCAATGGAGATGGCTCCCGTGCAATCACCGCTGGGTTTGATGGCGAAATCAAGGCCTGGTCTTGCCAGGACGGCCATTGGGTTGCAGACACAAAACTGACTGGTAAGCACAGCCCCTCTTTGGATAGCCCACAGGGTGCAATGGGGCTAATAAGAGCACAGCCGACCTCACAGGTGCTGATGCCTGGGCCATATCTATTTCTGATGATGGTCAGTATCTTGCTGGTGTCACGCAGGAGGGGCGTATTAATGTATGGGATTTGGCTGCCGATGGCACTCGGATTCGAGACCATGAGACCAAAGGCAGCTTTGGTACTTGCATCGACTTGGTGAGATCTCAAATCCTGCAGCTAGATAGTGGCCCCTGTTAACTTTGGCGTTTAGTCTCCCGATGGCCGATTGATCGCTTCAGGCCATGAAGATGGCGCAGTTTACATTTTCACCACTGAAACAGGCCGCATGCCGTTCTCTCTCTCAGGTAAGCGAAGTTGACTGAGCCGAGCAGGAATTCAAGTTCTAATTCGGCCTAGGCTTGGTCAATCCCGTACGAGCTGTGGCTTTCTCGCCCAAAAGCAAGATTCTAGCAGCTGCTGGCGACTCCAAGGTCATTGTGCTGTACGATACTTCCTCTGGTGAACAAATTGCCAATCTCTCTGGGCACTCTGCCTGGATCTTGTCCCTTTCCTGGAGCGACACTGGCGAGTACCTTCTGAGCAGGTCAGTCAATATTCCATGCATTCATATAACGGCAAGCTGACATTTCCAAGTTCGTTTGACGGCAAGGTCAAGGTTTGGTCCATGGAGACCAAGACCTGTGTCGCTACACACTCAGAAACAGATAAAGCCGTTTGGAACGCCAAGTGGCTTCCCAAGATCGGCAAGACAGAAGGGTTTGCCACCGCTGGTGCAAACCGCAGCATTGCATTCTACCGCGAGGCTACTGGGTAAAAAGGAGTAGCTGAACATGGGGTATTGCAGAAATGTCTTTGCAACTGCGTTATGACGATTTCAATGGAACCTAGGAAACCTTACTGAAGTATGCATAAAAATCATGAAATTCGTATTGGAACAATAACATTACAAGTGCCCTTGTACTTGTTCTTAGTTCATCGCCTCTACAAACAACTTGCGCATCCGCTTTAAGAACGCCCCAAAGTCTCGATCATCATTGACGAGATCTACCACATGCTCCAAACCATCCCGATCAACCTTGGGGCGGGTATGGAAAACCTCGTAGTCGCGACTGGCAGTGCCCAATTCAAACCAAGCCTCGGCCTCCCAGTCCTTCTCCAATAGATGGCTGTAGACAAATTTTAACCGGTCCTCACGACCGGCGCCTTCAATTCGAATACACAGGTAATCCTGCCAGAACTCCAACTCCGGGAAATTGAGACGAGATTGTGCATCTAAATACTGTGCGTGAGACTTCTGTGCCTCGACCTTTTGACCGATAGCCTTCTGAGTCTCGGCGATTTGCTGCTTCAGACGGTCGCGTTTGGTGAGGCGGGCATCGCGTTCCAAGGTGATAGATGAGATAGCCGCGTGCATTTCAGCCGCTTCGGCCGCTTCCTTTTGGAGGGTTTGTTCATGGGTTTGTGATTTGAGGTTGAGAATTTCGATATCGCGCTGTCGCATGCGCTCATCCTCTGGCAGGCTGTATTAGACGCAGTCGCCCCGGGGGGGGGGGGGGTTTGAATCATCAACTCATACCTTCATATTCAGCCATATTAATGTGGAACTGGTTTCGTTCCTCCAAGACTCGCTTGCGACCACGCTCAATAAACGCGTCAAACTTCACTGTGAATTGTGCCATGGTATTGCGCAGGTCCTCGAATCCAAAGTTGATGCTGGGCAATGAGTCTGCCATTGACGGCGCATCCGCCGTGGCGAGCGGTGGGCGCATGCCACTCGTCGAGAGCGACGGTTCAAATGAAGAAGCCATAGTATTTGAGAACTAAATTGTGAGTGGTGTATGGTGAAGTTGAGGTTGACGCGGGGGACAATGCGAGAGTTCCAAGGTTGTTTTGGGTTGCGGCGCAACAACTCCGAGTCTTATCGATAAGGATCAAAAAACTTTCCGCACTCTCCAGGGCTCTCTTGCTGCATCCTCACATTATGCGCATATGTATGACCTGGTGGACTCTTACTGTTGCACCAGTATCGACATGGTTTGGCCTGGTCCCGATCTGATCGCAAGAAGCAAAGCAAGATCCCATGGATGAACATCCAGGCAGTGCTCTCCACTATGGGCACATAGGACGGGCTGTCTACCTTCCTGATGACCAGGACTGGACATTTACTCGCTCTTTTGCTAGGCGTAAGCACTTCAGCCTCTTTCTCCGAACCAGCTAACATGTCTGCAAGCCCCATCGATCGAGTATACCGGACTGACCAAGACAACAATCCCATCGCCTTTTCGCCCAGCCAAAGCTCGACCAATACCCAGAGTACCTGAGAAAAACCCCAGGAAATTGATCACAAGCGCGCATCCCGATTTGGCGGCATCATGGTCCTCTATTCGCGCTGAACCTTTATCGAAAGCTGTTGCGACTATAACCGAGAAATATGACCCGGAGATCTCTGATCTTTTCGATATCGGTTATGCGATGGACCAGAGGCGACATGACAAGAGGCTGCGCTCAGTTCCAATCGCGGTGGCAGTTACCGGAGAGTGTCGTAATATAATCTCATTCCGCACGCTGGAAGAGGAAATTTTGGTGTTGACTTCTCCACAGAAGTTAGCGTTTCGTGCTCCATCAATCAGTCACATTGAAATGTCTGAATGGTCCAACAGTGGCGCGCCGGTACGTCAAGTACATTTTGCACGTCCCTTGGAGGAGAAGCCCCTGTTCATGGCCGCTCGTCTCCCCAAAATAACTACAATATTTCGACCTCTTTACCACTGGGATCCTGTGCCTATGCACTTCCCGGAAGATACTATACTGGGATCCTCCGTCCCCTTGAAAAACTCTCGACTGGATGCGAATCCAATCGCGGAGGTATCTGTGTCGCGAACAGGTGGCTTCTCACATGCCCATGTGACCTTCAACCCCTGGTATCAGAGACAATTCGCCATTGTAGATATCAGAGGTAAGTGGAGTGTCTGGGAGATCACCGGCAGGCAGCGACTTCAGCAGTCCACTTGGGCTGTTGAGCTCGTCAAATCAGGCTCGTTGCCTTTGCGGGATTATAAACGCAAACATAGTTGCCCTCGGCTTGATGGCTGGGCATCGATCGAGTGGGTCCATAATGTTGGATCGGTAGTTGTCTCCAATCGTCACAGTGTCATAATCTATGCCTTCACAGACAACCAGATTCCACCACGCACGGTTGAACTGGGAATGGCTAAGCAATCTGAGTGGGTTCTAGACGTTCAAAGAAACCCATGCAAGCCATCACAGTTCTGCGTCCTGACGACAACTCGAATATTGTGGTTTGATGTCGGAGCCCTGCCAGGCGAAGACGATACAATTCTTTCTCTATATCCTCAAGTGTCTTGGAGGCACTTTCGAGACCCCGAAGACACGACCTTACGACTTAGCGACATGGTCGTATACCAAGGTATGTGCTAGCGCGATTGAACACGGACTTCAAATACTAAAATACTATCTAGATGTGTATTTCGTTCTGTATTCGCAGATCACTCAGCTGGTACAAGCATTTCCATGTCCCTTTATATCCGACGAACAGACCGAATCTATATCTGTACCCGACCCCCTGGTGTTGGATGCGCCCCTGTTGGCGGATATACCACCAACTAAACGCGACTCTGTGGTGCGATTCTCGAGATTCGTATTTAGAGAGATTGCCCACTCTGTTGCACCACTGGGTATGAATTTCTATAACGCCCACTTGCCATTGATCAAGCTTTTCTGGATGGATTCCGATTTTGCCGTTCACGAATCTACTTTCAAGGGTCCGCGCAGAGATCCAGACGAGCCGGACTTGTTTCGTGAAAGTAGTGTCTTGCGGTTGAGAAAGCGTTATGCTCTGAAATCATGCATCAGACCCACCGATGACTTTATTGTGAATGATTGGGACGAATCAGCGACAAAGAAAACGATTGTTCGTCGTTGCAAGCCCAAAATGGGCCGCACTGGTACAAGGTCGGACTTGCAGTGGACCTTAGATTTCTCTGGCGTCTACAAAATAGCTACGGGGAAGATGAGAATTCGTCGGAAAAAGCAGAAGAAGAGACTAAGGCCCAAACCAAGGACACTTAATGGGTTGATGGCAATTCTACAAGGTGAAATGGAGAATGGATCAAAGCGACCTCCAGGCAGGACCATGGTTGAATTGACCGGCAGGGGAGTTTTGGCAGAGGGTCTTGATCAAAGTGCAGAGGATGTGGAACGACTGATCTCAACACTCGTGCCCGAACACCAGAACCCCGACGCTCACTGTCGGTATATGCTGCTATCACTCCCATCCCCAAATGGGAACTATGGCATGCCAGCCAAACTTTCAGGCGAAGCAGACAGGGATCTTCTAAATACCTATGATCGAATGGTTGATGATTGGATGTCTACCCTGCCTCGCTTCATCTCCGTGCAGACACGTCTCATGAAAGAGAAACTCATTCGGGGAGTTGCTGCCGATCTCATTCTTTCACGGCTGATCAAAATCTCTACCTCGTTAGATAGCATCATACTACCCAAGCCCGCAGATCCTGTCGAGGAACGAGCAATTGAGAAGGCAAATGAGAAGGCAGCGGTACAGAACAAATACCTGCAATCGAGCTACTTCGCATTATTATCATCACAGATCCCGGTAAGCCAGTCATCAATAGCCAAAAGCCGAGTCTCCGGATCCAGACGGGACACGATGCCAGTCCAGCAATCCAAGTACACCGCAGTCCCAGTCCTGGGTGGCCTCTCAGCATTCATCAAATTCAAGAGCCCACGTCCAACACCACGGAACGTGGCAAACCTGCTTTCCCACTGGCCGGTGGGAACCAACCCCCAATACTATGCATGGGAGATGATCGAAAACGAGGAGACGCGGCGGAATTCGAAGGCGCGCACATCCAAGAGCAGACGGAAGAAGCGCTCGCAGACTCGTGACCAATCCCTCCCTTTGACCCCGGCAGTCCCCATGGTCCGAACATGGGGCAGTCAGCCACTTGCACCTCCCCGACTCAACATCAACAGTAGTCAGCCCACGATGGATGGTATGTCGATGACCCAGGTGGAACGGGGAGCTTTTGGAGCCCGCGCACTCAAGAAGCCGAAAAAGAAGAAGAAGAGAGAACCTGGATTTTAGAAATGGCTTGTATATCAAATAATTCAATAATAGATACTCTGTACTATATCGCCTACTATAAAAGACATTGGCTAACCAATCGCGAATATGGCTCATTCTCAAAGGGATGAATTTATGACAAATGCAGAATACCAGGGAGAATAGGTAGAATAGTAAATATATAATCTCCTTTCTCTTTTTCTTTCTCTTACTCTCTCTCTCTCTCTCTCTCTCTCTCTCTCACTCTCTCAACTATTTCTCCTTTTTATATTTATCTGAAACCACAACCCTAAAGTCCACTGTTATCGCCAAGCATCTTCTTCCCCTCCTTCCAACAACACCCCGCCCACAAAATAAAATCCCACCATGTCCGACCACCAGTACAAGTTCAATGTGACTATGACTTGCGGCGGATGCTCTGGCGCCGTGGAGCGTGTCCTCAAGAAGCTGGAAGGTAAGCGACGCGCGGCCTGTTTCATCGCTTTTGATCCTAACACGCTGGTCCTTAGGTGTCAAGACCTTCGATGTCAGCCTCGAGACCCAGACGGTCAATGTCACCACTGAGCCTACTCTTGCCTACGATGATGTGCTGGAGAAGATTAAGAAGACTGGCAAGGCTGTGAATAGCGGAGAGGCGGATGGGGAGAGCAAGGAGGTTTAAATACTGTCTATGTTCATGGTGTTACTGGTCTTATATACCCCTTTTTGCATGAGGCCTGGAAGTCAAAAACTCATGAGCTTGCCTACGCTCCTGGAACTCAGGCCCAAGACTAGACTGGACTGCTAGGCAGAACATACCAACAACATGCGTTCCAACTTTGGAAGGTTCTAAGGTTGCTCTGGAATTCCCACGATTAAATGACCATGACGAGATACAAATGAAATAGACATAAAATGAGGGAAACGCAGTTCCGGATTCAATTTGGTATTGAGACCCATGAGGAGAGAGGTTCTAAGAATATGCACAAGGGTATCATGAACAACGCAATGCAATGCGAATACAAAAAATCTCGAAACAAAGGGGGAAATGTAGTAGAAGGTGGAATTAATTAATCGACAATAACAACATGTCTTCCATCAAGGAGGGAGTAGTAGGATGGGCGTGGTTCAACTCTTTGAACGTAGACTGGGCGATCTTGCTCCATAGTCTGGGATGAGGGAGGGTAATTGTAGGACGGTCTGTATCTCTGCGTTAGTGGGGAACTTTTCAAGACACAGGGCAAAGTTGTGTTGAACTGGTTGGTTTCCCCCAATGAAGGCTTACCGCGAGGAGTTGAACCCGCCACTGGCTGGTCTTTCACGAGGGACCTGAGGGGGGGACACGTGAGGCTGGATCTTTCCTATGACAGAGTCTGAAAAGGTGCGAAGGTGGTCATGGGAAGGAGCCACTCGCAGTCCTATGGGCAATGGGCCACGTTGATCCGACGAAACCTGGGTCTGAGACAGATGCTTTGTGCCAAGGTAGTCAAGGTCTCTAGTCCGGGTCGACTGAGAAGGTTCTCCAATGGGCTTGGCCTCTGGTTCTGCGCGCCTGGAGACGTATTCAAATGGAAGGGGCTCACGGTGGTCAACATGCCGGACGAAGTCCTCGGCATACAGGTTCCTGTCTGGCTGGACGTTCTCTGATAAGGGGCGGCCACCATCAATCCGGGTGCGCCGAATGGCCCGCTCTTTCGGAATATGGCCCGAACGGAAACTACGATCACCATGGTAAGGATACCACGGTCCAGAATTGGAGACGGCTGGAGCCGCTCGGAAGGTGCGATCCCCTTCCGATACAATGATACTGGTACCGGAAAGCCCAGCCTGAGACTGAGGCTCGTGTGGTCCGCTGATATGCTGTCGACCTAAGACTGACCTTGTTTCTAGGCCATACTGTGCGTTGGAATAAGAAAGCGAGTTCGGGTTCCTTTCCCGCTGGTGTCCTACAACAGGGGGTTGTTCCACTGGCAGATAGTCCCGACGGAAATGAGGCTGGTCCTGGGGTCGGTGGTCTGGGACAAGCTCAACGCGACGATAAGAGTGTGGCCCGAATCCTTCGGAAACAGGAAGTCCCATGGGCCTTGTACTCCACGGATCTGGACGGGAATCGGTTCGAGAACCTTCACGACATGCCAAACGCCTTCTTTTGCTCGCTTGTTCACTGTCACTTTCCTTTTCGATGACATCGGGGTGATGCATCATCTCTCCTTGAGGACGCCCTGGCGTGACCGACCGGAGGGACATTTTGTTGGTCATATGTACCAAAGGATGCGCACAGTCAGTCCGCCGGATTTCTGATGGCCGGGAATTTTCAATCGAGGGCAAGATAGAGTCCTGTGTGTTTGAGCCTGGTCTGAGAAGAGGGGAACTGACGGAGTCAGGGCGGCGTCCCACTGGGGTCAATTTCTGACGATTTTCCTTTGGTCCGCTCACGAACACAGGTGCGTTGGTCCTGTCCGACTGAGGAGGCAGTCTTTCTTGTCGAAATCTGGTCTCCATCCTGGAGGGAGGAACATCCTGCGAGTGGCTCATGTTCACATTTCTAGTTCCAGAAAGCTCTTCTAGAATTTGCAACTCGGGTGATTCCTGGTTAGTTAGTCCAGTTGGCCTGGCGTTCTGTTCATGGATTGAGAATTTTTGTTGGGCGTCCGAGTGAAGATAGTTCTCCTGGACACCTACATGTCTCTTGGCCACCTGTCGGTCCATTAGTGGAATAGCGAGCACTCGATGCGCTTGGTCATCATTACTGGCTGAGCCTGGAGCGACTCGCCGATGAACTTCGGCGTGCGGGGGAACTATATCCTGGCGCCTAGCAGCAGCTACTTCCTGAGCAGTAATGCGCTGCTCGGCATATCGTGGGCTTTGCTTTTCAGCTGGGGCACCAGAAAACCTGGGTTGTTCAGTGCCCTGTATACCCTCTCTATATTCCTTGACAGCGCGGGTCCATGCTTTGTACCTGTTAAACCCTCGACGGTTGATGGTATCTGTGGCCGGGGCTCTTGTGACAAATCGGAACCCAGGCGGCGCTTCCTCCGATATTTCCCGTGGAAGATCCCGACCAAGAGGATTCGTATTGTTGATAGGCTGATATTGGATCTCATGGGCCCGAGTATCGCTTGGAAGTATTTCCACACTGGTGTTCTGGTGACCTGCTGAAGCAGCCGCATCTTCTTCTGATTCACTGTCTTCGTCGTCTGAGATAACGATCACCTCGCGGAAAACATCTTCCAGGACTGTCTGGCCATTCTCATCATCTCCTCGCCACTCAATGACTTTTGCTAGAGTTGTGTGTTCAACAACCCCTCTTGCTTCATGGAATGAAGTGGTTTTCAGGAGGCGGTCATAGTCAGTGTAGACATGCCGAACGTGGGCAACCACAGCAAGTTGGGCTCTGCGAGCCAAAGGCAATTCGGTGGCCGTCCCAACTTTTTTCTGACCCTTTTTTTGGGATATCAGGTTTTCCATGTCCTCATTTATCAGATCAAGATTGGTATATACGTACCTTTTGAAAAGCGGTCTTGATGATTTGATTCAAATCTTTGTCTGGTATGTTCGGAAAGAGATCCTTTAAGGCATCCCGTGCTTCTGTGTTGAGGGTTATTTGAGAAATTTCAGAATCAGCCCGCTTAGGATTCTCTATCCTGTCTGTGGGAAAGGTACTAGGCACTGTTTTACCAGTGCTTGTGAGGTAGAACCCCAGCTCTGAACAAACAGCTGCCACCACGGTACTAGGGAAATGATATCCTATCCGATGAACATGCTGGGACAGGTTATGATGGCGATGGTGGGGTGTAGTCTAAAAAAAATAAGCAGTGTTGATCATTAGCAACCAGATGGGGTTCTCACTGATACTGCATGGATTTGGAGACCCTCGTCTCGACACCGCTCCTTACACGTTGTAGTGAGTTGCGGATTTCCTGCAGGAATGAAGGTGTAACCGCTTGGTGCTTGCGCTTCAAAACAGATCTGTGCATTTTTGTTAATTATTTGGTCAAGCTGAAGCAGAGAATATACATACGACACTCCGAAGCTTTTTCTTTTCTTGGGTTACAGATTCCATAATAACTTTGTGTCTTCTCGCTCTCCTTTGGATAGCCCGGCCGGGGCCATGCCTGATCGAGGCCGAGGCAGCCCTCCTTATGACACGGGCCATACTTCTGGTTCAGCTTATCGCAGAACCTCGCGAAGATGAAGATTTCAACACATCATTCACGATATGTATGAGGCGTGTGATATGAACAGGTAGATGGTATGTGTCTCCTTGTATGGGTCAGGGCGAAGGGTATATGGTCAAGTCAAGACAAAGTCACGTCTTATGCAACGCAGCAACGGAAAGGGTATGAAGTAAAGGCACCCCGCGGTTGCCCGAAACAGAAACAAGGCCCTTAGTGTGAGCCCTTTGGGTCAAACTTGAGCAGGAGCAAGTAGTAAGTAGAAAGGAGCAAACAGAAAAGAAAGAACGAGAATATCGGTAGGAGGAAATATGAAGAAGAGAGAGAGAGAGAGAGAGAGGGACTGATAAGATTGCTATTGCGGCCCAAGTCACCTCTCCCGATCGGGCTAGTCCTGCCTGAGGCTTCCACCTTTCTCCAACTTTGACCGTCTTTTACTCTTCTCTCCAATGCCAATCCAACATTTGAACTCAACACTTCGGATCTCCGTTGATTCCGTCTGATTCCGTCTGATTGCACATCTACTGCAGATTCTAGATTCGTTGGCTCGGACTTGTCCAATAGATTGGACATGAACGCTTCAATCCAGGCCATGAAGGTGGATCAACGAGCTATGGTCCACGCATACCGTCACCTCTACCGACAGGGGTTGAAAGCAATTCAGTATTCAACGCCGGGTCGCCATATGCTTCTAAAATCCCTGCGACACTCCTATCGTTCCTCCCCCCGGAAGAGTTTGATCCTGCCAAAATCACCAACACCCTTCGTTTTCTCGAACGAGCTACCGAGGTCGCGGGCATGGAACACAAGATTTTGAAGAACCTTCTGCTAGCTAGATATTGGGAGCAAGGTCACCTTGTGAGAGAGTCCCGCGTGTGAGTGACCACCAACAGAAGTGGAGAAGAAAGCCGCTAACTTGGCCTCAGTCCACGATCCCTGGGACTCGGTCATGTAGAGAACCAGTTGCGGACAAGCGCCTTTGACCATTACAATTTGACACTTGACCGTTTGAATGAGAGTCTAGGGACGTGTCTCAGATGATTCGAACTCCGCAGTTCTCGACTTTTCTCTCAGTGCTGATCCGACCCGCTACGCCAGATAGTGCGTCCGTTAGGCCTCAGTGCTTCCCTTGGGCATGAATCCACATGGACGCGAGGTAGCTCGCCCAAAAGGGGATTGCACATACCGGGTATTGCCGTGATCAGAACACCGGTACATATCTCAATCGCATCAGGATTCCGTAGGACACGATGACCCGTCCTGCCTCTGGGTCAGCATCGTCCGTTGTATTTCCGGACAGTTTTGTGGCATACAACACATTATGTCACTGGCACTCTACACGCCTTGGCATTCAACACAACGTCGTAGAGCCAATCCTCGTCTTCAGACTCGAGACTCATTGGTAGATAGTAGGATTGGCCGCTGAGCGTAGTGGCTCTGCAGGAAGACAGCGTTGATGAGAGACTACGTGGTAGAATAGTTTGAGCAAATTCTAAAACAAATGATAGTCCATCCTCTTTTCCCAATATTCCCTGATTTTCGAGTCTAACCGAGTCCAACTAAAAGTCGTGTGATCTCCTCTGGCTCCAGCCCCAGAGCATGTGACGATGATTCAGCAGCGGAGGCGGTGCCCGTGGACGTCACATGTCACGATGTCTGCTGTTTCAGCTCCAGGTTTGGGTTTGAATTTGCTTGATTACAAGCATCTAAGTTGATTTGGTGAGATGCCGGTTTACAGCCCTTCATGAGTGGTTTCATTTCCTCGCTGCTGATCCAAATTGGAATACGATCCCCCCTACCACCCCAGCCGAGCAGCCAACCAAATGACGACCAAGCTAAATCCCACCTGAGCGAACCGACAAACCCCCCGAGTGATAGTAAAGACCATAAATTTGTTTCTCTGCGGGGCCAAGATCACAGACAGAAATCGAACTGCGGAGATGCGGGTGCGGGGTCCCTGCATAGCCCTCCTTTCTTCACAACCCTACCGAAAGAGATGGATGGCCGAAACTTGCAACCGGAGGGCACTCGATCAGTGACCCACAACACACCCGGATCCATCCAAAACATAGCTGCGACCACAGATGGCTCATTTGATCCCACAAATGAAATCGACGTCAGCTTGCAGCCGGACAGTTTAGGGAATTCACAAGCTTCACACCCCAGCGACACGCTGAACTCGCATAATGAGCCACAGTATGCAGCTTCAGCAATAGCCATCGGCGAGCCTCGGCGATCTTTGGACGATGCCTTTGATCCGGAGGGACTGGCACGGTCTTCGCTTCCGGCGGATGATGGGATGGGGGTTCTAAGAAGCAAGATCATCGCAATCAGGGAGTTGCGGCTCACCAATGTTGAAAAAGCGCGAATGGTTCACGGTCTGATGACAGAAGGTTACAACTCGTCCCGTGAGCTCCCAAGCATCCCTGGCATGGGGGTATTCTCAACTCCATCGAGCCCACCGAGCTTGGAGCTGCCAACAAGCCTGAGGACTCCCCAGACCTCGGAGATCAATACCTCTAGACCGGACTCACCATACTCCGAATCAGTTCCTCTATACGAGAGCACCTTCAATCTCACACCGGAAGATCTGCAGCCCACTTTCGTACCCAAGACAGAAACAGAACCACCAGAAATTGAAACTGGGGATGAAGACGGTGACACAGAGGAACAAGAAGAGACTACTCTGGGATGTGTGCATTATCACCGCAATGTGAAACTCGAGTGCCACACTTGCAAAAAATGGTATACCTGCCGCTTCTGCCATGACGAAGTGGAAGACCACTCTCTCGTTCGTCGAGACACCGAAAATATGCTTTGTATGCTATGTGGGCATGCACAGCCTGCAGCGCAGAACTGCAGCCGGTGCAGCGAGCAAACTGCACAATATTATTGCGAGATTTGCAAGCTCTGGGATAACGACAGCAAAAAGAGCATCTATCATTGCAGCGACTGCGGTATATGTCGAATTGGACAGGGACTGGGGAAGGATTTCTTCCATTGCCAGGTAAGGGCTCCGACGTAGGTTAGACGATACTGATACTGATAACACTATAGACATGCTCTGTTTGTCTTCCTATGTGTATTGAGAACACCCATCGTTGCATTGAACGGTCCACCCAGTGTGACTGTCCCATATGTGGCGACTACATGTTCACTTCTCCAGAAACCGTCGTCGTCATGCGATGTGGGCACAGCATACACCACAAGTGTCTCTCAGAGTACTCCAAAAGTTCCTTCCGTTGTCCCCTTTGTAGCAAGACCATTACCAACATGGAATCGACATTCAGAAACCTGGATCGCACTATCGAGAGCCAGCCTATGCCCGACGAGTTCAAGGATACCAAAGGGCTTATTTACTGCAACGATTGCGGTTCGAAGTCAGTTGTCAAGTACCATTGGCTTGGTTTAAGATGTGATTTGTAAGTACTCTTCGAGAAAAACAGACGATCAACACCTACTAATGGCATCTAGATGTGAGTCGTACAACACGGCCCAACTTCGCATTTTGCATGGAGATATGTCTGCTCAACTCGAGGAAGACTCTGGAGAAGACCTCCTTCCTCGGCCTCGATCATCTTCACTCATTGAAAACGATGACTCGATGTCGTCTTCCATGGCGACATTAAATGTCAATAACACATCGGTTCCTCGTTCACGGCTCAGTGTCCCTATGTCCCCCGAACCCGTTAGACGATTCTCATCCTATAACATCACACGAGGTCGTGCTGTCTCGCCCGTCGTCAGCAACTACTTTGGACTGCCGACTGAGCGTGAATCAGAGAAACCTTCGTCTATGCCTTTCTTTGGAGGTCCATCTCGTGGCGAGAATGAGGACTACGGTGCATTGAACTTTTTAAGCAAAAAGCTTACATACCGATATGGATTGTTTGGTGGTGAGGCTAAATCAACTGAAAACGTATTGGAAGCCAAGAATGAAGATGACGACGGAGAGTCTTCTGACTCGGCTGGATCGGATGGTTCTCATGGTACCGAGGACGACGACGAAGAGGAAGAGGAAGATCAAGATCACATCCAAATTTTCGGTCATCAATGAGGCGGATGCAGATCCTTACGCATGAACCTAGATGGTTGATGATGGGTTGGTTTATCGTCCTGGGAAATGTGACCCACCAGCTCTATCTTTGCCTTCATCAATTATCCCCGGCCAAACCGTGCATCGAGCAATGAACACTGTTCAATTCTTAACCACAATCCTACCGGTCTAACCCGATGCCCATCCTTGACTGGGTTGCACCGGGAGACAGAAAAGCCCCTTCAAGGCTGATTTGACATTTCTGTACTGGGATGATAGCTCTCATTTCGTATACTCTTACACATGTGATGACTACAAAGGTGCCTTTGATCTGATGATTTATGGTTTGACATAGTCAACCAAGCAAAGGCCAACTCAACGCATTTCAGGGATGTTTCTTTTACATACATCAAGCAGCCGGCTTCGCTGCAGCATAGCGTTCATTTCTTTTTCAGGGTTCCAAAGCACACTGGTGTCATGACGCAACGATAGCAATTTTATTGAAACTTTCTATCTTACTTAGCTTACACTAAATTGCTTCATTGGGTATCTGTAGTCTCGGTACCCTATACCACCTTACCAGACTGATGGATCAAACAGAAGACCTCTCCGGTCCATGGGAAGGATGGTCTTGAGCAGCATCCTCCACATGAGCAACTGGCGCCTTTTCTTTTTCGTTCATGATGGCCATGGCTTCACGTTTCTCAGAAGTTCCCTCAGACTCACCAGCCGCTACATTATCCGGACCCCCAAAGATCGTGTCCATTCGCTCCAAAGATATGCCCTTGGTTTCGGGGAGAATGAAGTAAACAGATATCTGAATGGCGTAACAGTCCTTTGGTCAGTGATTGAAAGAAATTGTATAGGACTGCTCTTGAACTTACCCAGCAGCTACATTCAAACCAAACAGTAGCCAATAACTGCGACCCCCGACCTTCTTGTTGAAAGATGGCCAAGACTGCGTGAGCATAATAAGCCAGCACGTTTGGCCAAGCATCGACAGACCAAAACCCTAAACGAAGGCTGTCAGCGATATTGTCCATGACTGATTACTTCCGCTCCAACCCACCTTATCTCTAACATGCTGAGGGAAAATCTCCGTCACCACCGTCGGGGCAATAGGGCCATTTGACCAGCAGTACGTCAAACCAACAATGAACAACATAGCAACCTCGACGATAGCAGCCGCCTTGTTCCCGTTTGTCGGGTAAGCAGTTGTAAGACATGACATGATCAAGAGGGCCAGCGACTGAATAGCAAACCCAGCAAGCAGCAGGCCCCGTCGACCAAACCTGTCAACTGTGAATGTATTGACGAACACAATGAGCAGCTGGAGGACAGACTGTATCCCATTGATCGTCAACGCCTGCGAGCCCGAGTCTCATCCCAGACTCTGGTAGATCAACGTGGCATACATGGTAAGCGAAGCAATACCACCACACTAGATGAGACTATCAGTCGTGCTGCAACGTATGCATGAAAGAATTGACATACCTGCTGAAGACTTGCAGCATAGATACCATAAAACAAGCGCTTGCGCATGCTCCTATCCTTGAGAAGCCCGATATATCCCGTATCATATCTGCGCCGGAACTCATATGAGGCAACGAGCTCATGGAACTCCGTCCGGATACGTTCGTCAGTCGGCGCACCGGATCTGAGTCTACTGAGGACTTTCAGAGCCCGCTCGGGCATCTCGGGGTGCTTCTCCAGCATGTATCGTGGGCTTTCGGGGTACCAGAACGAGACCACGATAAAAGCCAGACCGATGGGGATTTGGATAATATTGGAGACACGCCAGGCGATGTTGTAGGGCGACTTGTGGAAGGACATCCCATAGCCGGACCAGAAGGCGATGAGGGTACCCAGCTGGTAGCCGAATTGGGATACTGTTCCGACGAAGCTGCCTCGGAGCTTGGTGGGAGCGCACTCGGCGACATAGAGGTTAGTGGAGATGTATACGCATCCGAAGCCTAGACCTCTAATTAGACGAAAGGGGATCAGTAGTGTACTCAGTGATCAGTTCAATGAGTTTATGGACTTACGTTAGGAGTCTTCCCAAGATCAAGACCCCGAAGCTATTCGGGATAACTTCGACAACTCTATACCTGGTCAGCGCTTTTCATACTTGCCTTCATGGTTCAATCTTACACTCCGATGATCATTATGAAGATGGAGACTCGTAGAGCCCAAAGACGCCCGAGCCATCCAGCGAGGGAGCCTCCAAGAAAGAGTTGGGCGAAGCCTAATATATTTTGTCAGTCCTATATCAAACTATATCGAAGGTAGAGATTATAGTAGTTACCTGTCATCGCCCAGGGGATCGTTGCAACCAAGCCCGACTTATTATCATTGATACCATAGTATTCGATGAATTGTTTATCAGCCAGAATGACTGTTATGATCCCAGCATCATACCCATTGAAACAGGTCGAAAAGACCATGCCATACAACAGGAGTGCCGCAAAGCTAGAGAGACGTCAGTCAAGAGAGTAGCAAGGACATAGAAATTATGTTTCTTACCGATCATCCTTGGGGAGAAACCTTTCCACGATACCCATTTCAAGACTGATATAGACCCAAAATCGTGCCTAGGTGGGGAACAACCTGGAGAACAGCTCGCATAAATATATGTCAAGCCATATCGGAGCCCCACATGTGTGGAACGCGGAGTCCCAAGAATGCCCTTAAAATCCGGGGAAAGACCGGGGTTTCAGGGAGTCTTGTAGTTGGCCTAGGACCATGTTCGGGCTGATTCCCTGTTCTTGGTCCCCGTTCTCTTGGCCCCGCCGGAGGGATCTCCGCCGGAGTCCCGGAGCCTCCCACTGGAGCCCTAAGAGTACCGGCGGAGAAGGGTTATCAAGAACTCGGTGAACATGGGAGGGGGTGGGGGAGTTAGGGTCTCAAACTCCGAAGTGCGCTTTTCGAAGGGGGTTAGATATAAGAACACGGGAATCAGAAGAGCTCAACTTTGTTTCTTTGTCCGAACACTTCATCTATACACACTGCAATCATGGAATACCCCCAAGAAGGCTTCGTTGCGACGACCTTTGCCCCAGGATCATTCTGGGCGCGTCGTCGGGAGGTAGTTCGAACTCAGACGCTGCGTCATCAGCTGCAGATGCTCAGAACTACTGGAAGATACGATGCTTTCAAGTTACAATGGCACCCAAGCTACTCCGATCCTCCCACAATGTGGCCAGTTCCTAACCACCAATTCTGGGATTCTGATGTTGGAAAGTGGATCGAAGGCGCCTGTTACTTGCTGATGGATCATTTCGATAAGGATATTGATGCTGCCGTCAGGGAGCTCGTGCAGATGATCCAGGGTGCTCAGCATCCCGATGGATACCTCAATATTCACTACTCAGTTGTTGAGCCGGGCAAACGCTTTACGAACTTGAGAGATATGCATGAATTGTATGTCGGAAAGAGTGTGAATCCTGGTAAAACGATGCTAACAGACGTCTCAGATACAATGCTGGCCATCTGATCGAAGGAGCACTTGCCCACCGTCTTTATTATAAGAACGATGACATGCTTTCACCCATGCTGAAGTATGTGGATCTTCTGGTGGAAACTTTTGGGGACCAGGATGCTCAGATTCCCGGATATCCTGGCCATCCAGAGATAGAGCTGGCTCTGTTGCGTTCATACAAGGTCACAAGAAATGAGAAACACCTAAAGCTCGCCCAATTCTTCATTAAAGAAAGAGGCAACCCGACAGGAGGGACGGAAAGACGGCATTACTACGATGTTGAATCCGAAGCAAGAGGCGAGAATAAGCGTACGTTGCCCGTGTATTTTCCTGCTTCCAGGAGTTATTGGTAAGTCATGATGGTCTTTGCTTATTCGTTTCTGTGGCGAGGGTATTCACCAAGGTTCTAGGTACCAGCAGGCCCATGTGCCAATTTCCGAGCAAGAGACTATCGAAGGACATTCCGTTCGAGCAATGTATCTTCTCACAGCAGTCGCGGACTTGGTTCGGATATCCCCACCCGACAGCAAAGTGGGAGCAACTTTCCTGCCCGTTGTCAACCGGCTCTGGTCAAACATGGTAGAGAAAAGGTCCTATGTCACAGGTGGTATTGGTGCGATTAAGCAGTGGGAAGGCTTTGGCATCGACTACTTCCTGCCTCAGGGAACCGATGAAGGAGGCTGCTATGCAGAGACTTGTGCTGCAATTGGTGTGATGATGCTGGCCGAACGGCAACTGCAAGTGGGTTTTTCTTGTTCGTCTCCAAATGTTACAGTCACTTACACAATGACTTTCAGATTGAGCTTGACAGCCATTATGCTGATGTCATGGAACTTTGTCTTTACAACGCCGTATTGACCGGCATGAGTCTGGATGGCAAGACATTCACCTATCTGAATCAACTAGCCTCCTCGGACAAGGATCTCTCCCAGCGCCATGAGTGGTTCAAATGTGCTTGCTGCCCGCCCAATGTCACACGCACATTGGGCTATCTGGGTGGGTATGTCTGGAGTCACAGCACAAATGAGCGAAAGACCGTTGTCAATGTGCATTTATATACTGCGGCCACCTTGCGTCTGCAGGTCTCGGAATCGGTGATTGAAATCACTCAAAAGACAGACTGGCCTTGGAACGGGGATGTCTACTTTACCATCCGTACCGAAGGACCTCCCGTTGATCTTCAGCTGCGACTGAGGATTCCCGGGTGGGCAGAGTCATGGCAGGTGACTCCGAGTCCCGAACAGCTGGGTATTCGCAAAGGATATCTCTACCTGAGCGCTGAGTGGCTGCAACAGAATTCGCAATTCCAATTTTCGTGTCCTATGCAACCACGTGTGACCAAGCCGCATCCACTAACGATGCAGCCCGTGGCATACGTCACGCGCGGACCAATTGTATACTGTGTGGAGGATGTAGATCATCCATGGGAAGAGCGTCATTTCAAGGTAAAGCACGAATTATCCCACATATGTAATACATGACCCTAATAATTCGATGCAGATGACGGTCTTCGATCCTAAGGTTCCTCTACGAGAAGAGGCACGGTCTCAACCTGATCAGTATATAGCTGTCATCGCCGAGAATGGAGCCAAAGGCGAAGTTGACACGTCGCCCTGGGATAGGCAGATTGTATCCGAGGCTAATAATGACAAAGTTGCTAGCGAGAGGAGGGATTTGTGCTTTGTGCCATATTATTTGCGGGCAAATCGGGGTGGACGAGGGCAGATGAGAGTTGGGCTCCGTGTTGAGTAGATACAGATCTCGTACAATTTATGTAGTCGCTGCTTATATATTGAAAACGTCATCTACACATACCAAGCTCCCAGGCTATAAATAGGATCGAAGATCGAAGTCCTGGAGATCTCTTGGCTTATCGCGCTTACATCAGCTTCTGCTTGCAGCCACGAGATTCCATTTTGAAGATCCACGTCCACCCGGGGTTGTATCGAGACATGATGTTGTCTGGTTTCATCATGTGCTTTTGAGCTAGCTATTCACATAGCTATTGAGCTGATTTCATCTGATTTTCTTTTTCTGCTAAATTTCCCATTTCCCATCCTGAAACGAGGCACGGATCCCTCTACACCCCCAGCCGAGTGATGTGCATGTCTTTTACTCCTTTTCAGCCCATCTAGATTGCTCCTTTATCTTCTTAAAAGACTTGAAATCACTCGACTGGGATCCCATAACCTAGCCAAGTGAAAAACCCCGTGAACAAACCTCAACAGCCTGTTCCAATCTCTTATCAGTACTGCCCCGCCGATTCTCCCTTCGCTTTATCAGCTCCGCGTCGCACCCGCGTCACCCCGTACTATGATCCGTCGCAACTCCGACATCGAGATCCAGCTCCCGGACGCTGGTCCAACACATCTTTTACCCGAATCCGTGGGTGATCTTGATATGGAGATGCTCTCTGAGGAGCCGGCACTTCCCTTGAGTCTCCCACCACACATCGCAGCCCGGTTCTACCGTAAAAGCAGCAAAGCCCGCCGTTCCTCCGCCGCCTCATCTCGACGAAGCTCAGTGTCTTCTTTGCACTCCCATAATTCGAACACGTCCTCGAATGGCTCGCCAAGTGCGGACCATATTGCTCAACACCTCCGCCGCACGTCCATTTTGGAGAGCCGAAAGGCACGACTCGCCGATCGTGCATTGCATGCGGAGAAAGTGAGGCTGCGAGCCGCTCTGGCTAAAGCAGCTACAAGAAATCTACAATTCGAAGAGAGAGCGTTAGCTGCCCAGCAGGCCCGGGAGCGTCTGCTCGCTGATATCACCGCCAAGTGCGAGGATCAGGTCAAACGGGCCAAGAAGAAGGCCGAGGATCAGCGGGAGAAGAAAGCCGCCGAACAAGCTCGCATGCGTCTGGAAATGGCGCAGAAGTTTGCGGAGGCAGAGAAACGGCGCACATTATACCAGCAAACCCACCGCCGTCAGCGTACTAGCAGCTTGCCAGCCACCGAGGAAAAGAAGATGTCCCGAGAAGTCACCAAGTCGCTTACACAGGATGCGGCTGCGCGGAAGATCCAACGCGTATGGAGAACCCATAACGCGAAGATGGTTATGCGGCAGTTCCAGTCGTTGAACCTGTCTGTGAACCGAGTTCGCGACATGACCTTTGAAGAAGTTGGCGCTCTCCTTTCTAATAATAAGCTGCTCGATACTATGACGAAAGTCCTCCGGCTGTGTGGTCTACAAGATATGGAAGGCGGAGCATTAGGTGAAAGGGGTGCAGTACGCACATTCCTCAGCAGCTATCTCATTGTCACTCACCCGCAAGAGGTTTTGAGCAGCAATGGAGACCAGGAGCAAGATCTGATTTCCAAGGCCCGGGAGCTGCTCTTAGCATTTGACCAGGTTACGGCGCTGCTATCGTCAGGCTGTTGCTCTCCATCTGTGATCACTGCGGATCTCCAGACTTTGTGTGAATCGCACAATGTGTTTTTCTCTGCTTTCCATGCTTGGAAGTCCCACGACTCTAGTGTGCTTATTGAGATCATGGTTGCACAGTTTGTCGAATTGGAGTTGATTTGGCAGACGGTCAAAAATGACAAAGCTGGCGGTGCTGCAGAGGACTACAGACTGGGGATCCGGCAGAACCAGGTCCTTTTGCTCGCCCGTCTGAAGAGACTTGCGGGACCTGACCGACACATGGAGATGATCCGAGATTCATTGAAGAAGGCCAAGCGGGAGAAGAAGAAGGCTGCATCCAAGCAAGCCATTCCCCGGTCTGCTGAGACTGCTCCTCCAACTACGGAAGTTACGCAGAGTGTCACATCGCCTCTTAGCGAGTCATTCAACAACATCGATGCCGCGGTGTTCCAAGAGCTGGACAAGCAGCGGACATCTCCCCATGAGAGATTCACCAAAATCCTCACCCCTCTCCCTGAAAATCGGGAGCTGGTGCATGAACTTCTCATCAACAAAGAGTTCAAGATCGAAGAAGCACCGTATACTGAACCGCGCAGACAGATTATGAAGCAGATGTGCGACACAATGAGAAGAGGGGTGGAAGCCGGACACGGCACCAACTGGACTGTCGCCATGGCCACTGTGATCCAAGATCGCTTGCTGCGTTCACTCCAACGGGGCAATTCCCTTTACGTGATAATTAGTGAAGTTTTAGACCCAAAACTGGTTCAGGGACAGTGCGAGGCTCGCACATTCTCCTATGATAATTTCTTCGAGTTCATGAACAATATCTTACCACGCCTATGCGCTCCTTACCGGGACCCTGTGGTCAAGGCATACATTGAGGATACTTCGGGCGATGCCATCGACCGGCTGGCTCGATTGATGAGCATCATTGACCTGCTATCACTCGACCAGACGAATTTCATGATCCAGCTTGCTGCACCCCAGCTCATCGAAGAAGCTCCTGGTTATGAGAAACGGGCATTCGACCGAGAAGTCACAGACGGGACAATTAGCCTGGGCAAGACCCGACGGTTTTGGCGCATTCATCGCAAGATCATCGTTGATGAGATGAAGAAGCGAGACCCGGAAGGCGTCCAAGGAGAACCACGCCCACCACCAGCACGAGTCTACGCCCAAGGTCTTGCCGATGCCGTTCTAAGCAATGCGATTGTATCTGAGGATCTAGTTCCAGAGACTTTAAGCCTCGATCGCCAACGGCTTGAGCGGCTGCACGCCAGGGCATTCCAAATTGTAGCAACAGCTTCCATCCTGTTGACAGCAAAGAACCTGCTCAAGCGAGACGCACGGTCTCAATGGAAACCCGAAGCAGACCGGATCCTGTCTCTGGACTTCAACGAGATCAGCGCAGAGCGAGTACAGTCTATCCTCGAGTCGACGCATCCGATGCCACCGGCTGCGAGCGCCCAGCTCGCAGCTACGATCAAACGAGTCCTTGGACCCGTCGCCACGGCATGTCTTGCAGCTTCACCCCAGCTCGCGATGGTAGCTTCAGAGCCCTCTGCTTCAGACGCATCCTTCTCCTCGACAGACTCACACGAAACCACGACCTCCGCGTCTAGCTTCTCGGACCCAGTGACGAAACTCATTCTCTCCCGCCTTCGCAGTCACGTCTTATCGCGTCTTAGCGCATCGAGTGCCTCTGAACGGGTGCGGGCTACCACCACGGCTAGTCAAAATCTCGCTGGAGCGGGTATGCCGGAGTTTGTTAATGAGGTTGGGAAGTTGGTGGAAGAATTAGAGAAAGTCCGGGAGGTGGATTGGCTTTGCCACGGGGCGGTATACGAGGGTTTATACGAAGAAGGCGTTCCAGCACAGTGAAGACGTTTTAGAAAGGCTTATATAATGCTGTCTTTTTTGGTTTTTGTTCTTTTGCTCTCCCGTTTTTGGACTTCGGAGGTTGGACTTTGCAGTGGGCAGATTGGCAGGGTATACAACTAGTTTCTAGGGTTTTGTATGGAGTAATGGACACCTTTTGATTTCTATACTATGCTATTATTATTATTATTATTATTAGGTGTAGAATATTGAAATGTTGGATATATATAAAATCTCCCTAGGTATAAAATCTCCAATATAACCTCCAGGGCTAGGTATCTAATCAGCAACCCCCCACACCATCAAAAATCCAACCTCACCACCCTATCCCTCCATTCCCTTTCCCTCCAACCCCTCCAAGACCTACAATCCTCAACGGGAAACACAAACCAACATGTCTCCAAAGGTCACAATAACACACCTATCCGACCTAACACCCCCTCCCAAGAACGAACCTGGCTCACAGCCCCGCACCCAACCCTCCCAATAGTCGCAACCTGCAGTTCAGACAAGACCATCCGAGTCTACTCCCTTACAAACTTTACTCTCCTCTCCACAATCACCGGTGGCCACAAGCGCTCCGTCCGCACAGCAGCATGGAAGCCACACATGGCGGGGGAGTCCGTCCTCGCGACGGGCAGTTTTGACGCAACAGTTGGCATCTGGCGGCGGTGGGATAGTTACGGGCAGGAAGACGGTGCCGGGATGGGAATTACCAGTGACGATAAACAGACCCCAGCCGATACTTTAACAGCAGCTTCCAACGGTACCGGTACCGACACCCCAGACCGCGAAGAAGACGAAGAAGAATGGCGCTTCGCAGTCCTTCTCGACGGCCACGACAGCGAAGTCAAATCCGTATCTTGGTCTGCGTCGGGGATGCTGCTGGCGACGTGCTCACGCGACAAGTCAATTTGGATCTGGGAGGATCTCGACGACGGCGATAACAACTTCGAGACCGTTGCTGTGATGCAGGAGCACGGGGGCGATGTGAAGTGTGTTTCGTGGCATCCTTCAGAGGAGTGTCTTGCTAGCGGGAGCTACGACGATACCATCCGGCTATGGCGGGAGGATCTGGACGATTGGGGCCAGGTAGCATGTATCAAGGGACATGAGGGGACAGTTTGGTTTTTGGATTGGGAAGGAGAAGAAGCAGAGAATTGGAACGGGCCAATTTCTGATTCCGTTTCCGAGTCTGGGATGAGCGCTTTACAAGCTCAGTGGCGTTCCCAGAGAGCGCTTTCCGGCCCGCGCCTCCTCTCCTGCTCGGACGACCGCACTGTGCGCGTGTGGCGGCGCCAGCCGAAGGAATCGCAGCAGACGGGGGCGCTGTCTTCTGCAACCACGGGGATCCCGAGCATCATCCGGCCTACTGGGACGGATGAGGTATGGGAGGAGGATGTTGTGCTCCCGCATGCGCATGAACTGCCTGTTTATGCTGTTGCGTGGAGTAAGCGGACTGGGCTTGTTGCTTCGACTGGTGCAGATGGGCGGATTGCGCTTTATGAGGAGCGGTTTGTTACGCGGGAGCAGGAGCAGGAGCAGCAGGCCGATTCGGATGCTATGGATACTACGTCTGGCGATGTGCTGCGGACGGAGTGGGTGCTTGTTGGTGTTCAGGATGGAGCGCATGGGATTTACGAGATTAATCATGTTGCTTGGGCGAAGAGGGCGGATCGGGGGTCTGGGGGTGAGGAAGAGGTGCTTGTCTCGACGGCCGATGATGGGAGTGTCAAGGTTTGGACTGTGACGCGGTGATTTTTTGGAATTGACATATGTGTTGAGTCTGAATAGCTTATAGACAAAAGGCTTGGTGTATTTAGAGACCAAAGGAAGAATATATAATCAATATATCACCTAGGCAGCATGGTAAAGCACAAGTGTTACACGAGTAAGAGGGATGTATAAATCAATACTTGGCTGTCAAGAGCGCGATAGACAGTCATTATTAGGGCATCGATACGGCAGCGGGATTTGGCTGTAGGCTGATCATACTTCTCAAGGCAGAGTACTATGATATAGTTGGAATGGAAGTAGTAAGAAGTCAAGTTATAAGAGATATCAGAATGAAAATCATATTTAGAATGAGATCAAGACCCCAGAACACCGTCTACTTTGTACACATGCCAAAAATGATTTCAAAAAAAATTCAGAACCCCCTTCCAGAAAAACTTTCAAAAAATCACTTGTTATGAAGACTGGCGGTTTTCACCAGTTTCCGGATGCGAGACATGATCATCGTCATCACTAGCTTCGCCAACAGCGTAATCCTCCCGCTCAACGGCAGGAGAATGAAGCTGGTCAAGCTCAGCCTCATCGAAATCACCAGCCTCAACATCACGACCAGAATTCTTGTTCTGGAATCTGTTGAGGATGGATGTACTGTTCGGCATATCATTATTCGAGACGCCCTTGTAGCCCCGGCGAGCACGGCGACTGCGCCAGATGAAAAAGCCCCAAACAACCACACCGATAATCACAATGACGAGGACAGCCTCGCCGGACTTGGTATACGCGTGCATCTCAGTTTGCTTCAGCCTCTCCTTCTCATTCTGCTCGGCAGCAGTGCTGTTGGCCTGTCCGCCGACAGCAGTCTGGGGCAACTTCTCACCGTCGATACGTGAATCGGAAGGCTGGCCGCCGATGCTGGCGATATCGACCTTCATGAAGCGGTCGAGCATGTCGCGGCTCTGTCGGGGGTTGTCGAATGGAACCATGTGGCTGGAGTTGTAGAAGAGGACATAGGTGAGGTTACGGGCGGATTGGTAGATACCAGCGGGCTCGCCTTCGAAAGACCAGTCGTGACGGGGGGCCCAGACCCCGGGGGAGGTCTCGAAGCCAGAACCACCCTTCCAATCCATGTTGTGGATCAGAGTCTCTGTTCCGATATGGTTGCAGATGAGGTCTTTGTCGCCGCTGAAGAGTAGGACGTTGATGCCCGATTCGATCAGGCCAGGGAGCAAGTGGACGGAGGGGATGGAGTTCTTTGCGGTGAAGGCCATGTGGACCATACCAGCGCATTCTGTCCAGCCTGATTTCTTGGCTGGGTTGATGTTCAGGGCTTTGACGACATCCGGTCGCTGGAGATATGGCTCAATGTTTTTCAGGTCGGGGGGCCAGTTCATACCACAGGATTTGGCCTCATCCTTAAGACGGACATCGTACATGTTGTAACACTGGTGATTTTCGGTGGTGAGATCAAGGAATTGTTGCAAGACTAGCTCGCACGAGCCTACATCCAGTTTGTTCTTTGCACCGGGGGTCTCCAGCTTCGAGAGACAGACTTCGTTGAGTGCGTTTATGTTGTGGTGGAGGGCTGTGCCCGGTTTGATGAGGCCTTCCCTCTCGATGAACTTAAAGTACGAAGGGTACTGGTCTGCAGGAGAGATCCAACCGTTACCGATCAGCAAACCCTTGATAGGCCACTTTGTGCCTCCGTTCTCTGCAATGCCCTTGTTGCGATCTTGAATGGCCTTTGCAATATATGGGATGTGCTGGCCGGCATACGATTCACCAGCAATATATAGCTGCAACACGGTTAGAGATATAGTCAATGCAGTAGAGGACAAGGCAAACGTACGTCATCGTTCGCATACTCGGGGAATAGTTCGAAGAACTTTTCCAAGAAGATAATGAAGTGAGCGGCCATCTGGTCCAGCTCATGGAGATAGCTATTGGTGTTCGCATAGCTGAACCCGGTACCGACCGGGTTATCGACGAAGAGCAGGTTGGCAAATTCATCCCACCTGCCCTCGTTGTACTTCAACGTATGGTCGTCCTGGAGTCGGTAAGGCCCAACTTCCATCAATGCGCCATCCATAGAGCTACATCCCGGGCCACCGTTCAGCCAAATGACAGTGCGCTGTCGATTCGCAATGTGACGGTTCTGGAAATGCCAGAAGAACAGGTTGCCGTTGATGTCGGGATCGACCTCGATATGTCTAGAGTTGTCGCGTTAGAAAAGGCCCACAAGGTCGACGAAATCCAACTTCTTAGAGACTCACCCAGCATGCATCTTCAAGAAAGGGCCCTCCGGTGCCCCGGGTAACGAGTGCACATAATAATCAGCAGCCGAACTAGCTGACACCAACGGGCTCAACAGCAGCGACAATGCAGATAATAACATCGCGGCGGCACCGCCCTTCGTGGAAGAAGGGAGGAATGGTATTGAGAGCATTTAAGCAGTCCAGTGTGGGTATCATGAGAATAGAGGTTTAGGTAAACAGTCGAGTAGATGTCCCGGGAGGGACTTGTAGGCGCAAATCAACAGATCATCGGATTCGGACGGGACGGACGGCACAGGTGGAGGGATGTTCGGGGTAGGAGAGAGACAGTTGAAGTGACAGGATACAAAGAAACAGCAAACCCCAAAGAAAGGAGATCTAAGGTGTTAAGGTGTTCAGAGTGTACAGAGTGTACGGAGTAGAATGACGGAGTTCAAAGGAAGTTCGAGGCTGGCGTGGCCTGTGGAGTAATTACAGGTAATTACAGGTGGATTGAATGAAATGCACCGCCACTTACTGCCTGAACAGAGGTATTTATTGTATTATTTGTATTATACATCCATATGTATTTCTTTATGATCAATTGGAGTCTAGATATACTTAGAATATTAACTATCTAGTCAGTCCGGAGTACGCAGTACCTTGTATATACTTATAAATCCATGTATTTTGTTATATCCACCTCGAATCAAAAGGTGAAACTCCCCCCTCTATAGTAAAACCATTGAAACACGCCCAGCCGCTTCAGCCACTTGCCGACCTTATTATCGTTTAATTTTGGGGATCTTCAGCTAGTACACTCTCAGAACCTTCGAGGAAATCAATAGACTTGTCGGCATCCTTCTTAATAAGATCCACCATCCCCTGAACAGTTAGCTCCTTGTTTCTCTCTGGCAATTCAATAGTCTTACATCGGGCATGATAGGCTGGTCATTGGCATCCTTGACATAGCGGAATGGCATCTCGGTGCTCTCGTGCTCATTGATGAGCAATTCCGGGTAGTCGACATATTGAATGTCCTCGAGGGGTACTGGCCAGAATCAGCGTACAGCACATATATCTAGATATATTCGAACTCACTCTTCTCGTGAACAACCAAACGAGTAACTCGCACGGCAGTATCGGTAGTCATCTGCTTAGGCCCCAATCGGCGGCCGACATATCCCTTCTTCCTCAATTCCGAGGTGCGGTCTACAAAGTCAGTCTCTTGCCGAAGTGCATAGAGAAAACAAGTACATACCTCTAGGCGGGTCGTCGCCTGCAGACGCAGTTAATAGTAAAAGGGTCAGTCCGAACTCAATCCGTATATATCGCGGGGGTGAAAAAAAAAAAAAAAGAAATCCATACCGAGGATACCACCAAACAAGAAGACCTCAAAGGTATCACCATCCTCGGGACTCAGCTCGGTCGCAGCGGAGGGGTCCAGTAAGCAGACCCTATCCTTGCGGTCGGCGAAGATCTCCTCCACACTACGCTGCTCGACCTCGAGGCCTTTGGTGGCGGCCAGATCTGCGGGCATCTGCAGCTGGGGGGGAACAGAACTGAGCAGGAACCTTGCCCCGCGGTCGTGGGATTCACGCGCGATGCAGGCATATTCGAGAGTGGACCATGGGCCCAGCTCAGGATCCAAATGTTCGACTACGAAGGTTGGTTGAGTCATGGTGGGTGTTGAGAGAGAGAGACGTCACAGAAGCGGGAAAAATGAAGAAATGAGGAAGTTCAAGGTTCGGTTCCACTGTGGGCAGGTGACGAGGTTATAATTGATTTAGCCAATTATACTATTATTTTATTTTAGATGAGCCTTGGGATAATGATGGTAAGACCTTGGGCTGTAGAAGGTTAAATACGATATTAATGGGTTATATGTGTGAGCCACCTACCTCACAGAGTGTAGGATATGCGCGGTAATTAGATATTATATATTTACTACTTAAATAGGAAAAGAATAGAGTAAATTAGAAGTATATTTACATTATAATATCATATAATATCAAATAATATCAAATAATATCATATCATATAAATATCTGTTAAAACACACGCAGATATCCAGGTAGAATTCCCAGAACGTCATCTACCTACCTCTACCTACCTCGTAGCCAATTAATGGCCATCTCCGATTCCTCACATCTTTGGGATTTACTTGGGTATTTAAATAAGTGTTACTCTGTTACTCTATTATCCACTATTTATTATTCTATTACTCCATTCTCTATTACTTCTATCCCAAATTCTGTCTCACCTTCTCTCTTCCCGGTCACACACTTCTCCCCGCCTTATCTTTCCCGCTTCTATTTCCCCTCCAACTTCAACTTCAACTTCAACTTTCCTTCAACTATCCATCATGAATCCTCACCAGCAGAACAAAGTGGACATCAACGTAAGTACTCCCACTCTTCTATCCTATCATCACTAACAAATCTCCAGTCCCTGAGCCCAGAGGAGCAGCGCCTGCTGCGCCTCTACGGCAAGATGCCCACCAAGAAAGACGTCCTCCAGAACAAGCTCAAGGCAAGCCCAACACCAACCTAACCCCACTCAACGCAGCACCCTGACACTTAGTTTTCTATAGGAACGCAAATACTTCGATTCGGGTGACTACGCCCTCAGCAAAGCCGGCAAAGCCTCGGACGTAGGCGTCACCAACATCGGGTCACGCCACCCAGTGCCGGAGAACATCCCGCACTTGACCTCAACCTCACCGGGCGCCAACAACTCTGCCAACAATGGCAGTGTCAGCTCCCAAGGTGGGCAGCAAATCCCCGGCAGCATCAGCGGACACCCTGGTTCGATCGGGTTCCAAAGCCGCAGCCCGATCAAGGAGGGGGTAGCTACCTACACCGTAGTACCAGTATCAGTGAGGGTGACGCAGCCTCTGGTCTGGCCTCTGGATCGGTGCAGGGTGAGCAGGAGCTTAGTGTTAGCCCCCCTACTGCGAGAGAGGGTGTGCCTATCCGTCGGTAGGCGATGATACAGTCAATATCTTGCACTACCTGGCTGTGGTTGTTCTGAGGAGGGCGATTGTTGCATGCATATCTTTGGAAGGGGGTCTGTGATTTCACTTTCAAAAGCCTGGCGCTATGGGAATTTCTTTTTCTTTTGTCTTGTTTTTTTCTTTTCTTTTTCAAATGACTTTTGTGAATCGGGGGAATGGGATAGGGGTGCACTGCGGGACAGAGCAAGAGTGAGAGCAGAGGTCGTTAGTGCTTGGGTTAGTGCTTGGACTGTGGTTGTGTCATTGATATGGCAGGCGCTATTGTTCTCCTTAGGGTGTGACAATTCGCTGCCCAGTCAATCGAGCACTGCTTCGCTCTTCAGTGTCTTGGCTTTCTTTATTTTTCTCCAATTATCACCATTTACCATGAACTTATCAGCAATCGGTGGCATTCGGTTTTTTTTCTTCTTTTCCGTGACCTTTGCTCTCCTCGTTCATATCTAGTTCATACGAGAAGACCCTTTTGATAATTTGCTTGTGTCCCTTTTTGGCTTCTATTCTCGCGATAATTTGTCCACATTATGTCTGCTTATATTCCTATTCGGCTGTCTTGTTTTGTACATGCCGGTAAGTTCCGTTGCCTTCTGTGTTATACTAGCCATCCAATTTGTTCGAAGGTTATACATGGGAAAGTCATTTTACACCTTTTATCAGCCTACTGACTCTGTCGAAATTGTCAATTGTTCTTCTCTTTTTCTCCTCTCCTATAGTGTATTATACATCTAAATGGCAATGCCTCATATAGTATATAGCTGTTACTATAGTTCGGAGGAACTTATATTTTATCTCTAGATGGGGCTAACTAGATCATATTGTTAAAGATAGAGGCTAATTATATAAGGCTATTCTTGTATACTACCTAGGTACACACAGAAAATATATGCTATATAGCTAGCTCTATTTGCTCTATTTGCTCTATTTTCGCTATATTATAGAGTTAAGTATGTCAACATAGTGGATATCTGATTCGGCATTATAAGATCTATATACTCCGTATCTCCAGGAGTATGGTATAAGTAATAAAGAAAATAATAAAAGAAAATAGTTAACCCAGATGTTAGCTTCTTTTCTAGTGTTTCTAAAGTTTCTAGGCCCTAAATTAGTTAAATTAGTATAGCCTAGGTAGAAAAATGGGTGCTCCGACCGCCAGTCTAGCTGTAACACTTATTAAAAAGAGACTTCCGCTTCTTTTTGGATTCGAATTTCTCTTTCTTGTTTGTTTCGTTATTTCGTTATTTCGTTATTTTTGTTTATTTGATCTATTTCATCTACCTGGTCTATCTTGTTTTTTTTTTTTCCCAGGGGGTTTTTACTTTCTCTTCCCTCCAGGTCTTTGCTTGTCTTGACCCACGTGAAGCGTTAAAAAGCGATAAGCTCGAAAAAAAAAGAAAACAGTGTGTTTCTCCCCCTCCTTAACTTCTCTCTCTCCCCATCCAGCACTGAACACGACAGTTGCTTCAGTTCCCCTTCCCTCGACTCCCTCCATACCGCGTACCCAACCCCCTTCGGCGGTCCGATGTGGCTCTTTCGAGTCTTTTCGTCGGCCTTGTTCCTCGCCATCATTGTCTCGTCCATCCCACTAGCCTTCGATGTGGGCGGCAAGACATGTGGCCTGGCCTTTTCGCTGTCCTTAGCAGCCTTTTACTTCCTGGTCTCGCTGTTGAAGGTCACCACCCCTGACCGATCGTGGTTCCGTTCCTCCATCATTGCCGTTCTCCGCTTCATACAATGGGCCGTCATCTTGGGCCTTCTGATTTGGTCGCTGAATCGATTCTCGGTTGATGCCGACAGTACAGGCACGGGATGGGTGGAGCGCACTTTCAACGGCAAGAGGGCGCAGGATTCCTCTATCCAGGAATGGCTCTTTGGTCGCGACGGCCTGATGGAAACTGTGGCCCTCGGCAACTGGGATAGACTTTTGAGATGGTCTACCCCAGTCTTCCAGCTGGCAGAGGGATTTTGCAGTTTACTGGTGATTCAGGCAGCTGGGCAAATTACCCGCTGGCTTGTCAACCGAGGTGGTCGCAGTGATAGCTGGATGGTATGTTTTTGATCACCCCATGGATATCGCGATAGAAACTAACCCTTGTCTTAGATCTGCCTCTTGGTATTGTCCGCTACGATTATCTCTAGCTCGGTTTACTTCCTCTGGCGTGTTCTGCAATTCCCCGAAATCTCCAACGTCGATGCTGCCTTAATTGGAGTATCTGTCACATGCGCCGTCATTTTGTGTGCCTGGGGTATTGGAAGTGGTCGCGGTAACCCAGTGGAAAGCTCTCTTCTCTTCGCCTACATCGTGCTCTGCATCTACCAGATCTTCACGGACTACCAGCCATCGCACCCCGTGGAACAAATACCCTCCCCCTCACAGGTCGGAGACTTCCCTCCACTACCTCCCATTATCATGGCATCGTACACAACCCTGATGCATGCGCTGTCTCTTCTGCCGTCGATTATTCATGCAGGCTTCAACGTTATTACCACTGTCTTCAGCGCTGTCACGCCCTCTGTCCTCATCTCGCTCGCCTACCGCCTGCTCGTACTGTATGCATCGACGCGCATCATCCCAGCTGTCCGCGAGTCTGGCGCCCGTGCCCTTTCCCAGGAGGCTTCTATTGACGATACCGATGCAGCAGGCCAAGTGCTGGGTTTCCTGAGCTACTTCGCCCCGACCATCCTCATCGCTGTCTATACCAGTCTCCTCATGCAGCACTTCGCATCAACATCACAAGCAATGGGTGGCAACGGCGAATGGTGGAGCACCCAAGGCAACGGCGGTGGTAACCCATGGCGGTGGATTAATCTTGCTTGCACAATATCCCTATACGCGGTCGAGCTATGGCTGGGGGAAACCAACGATCTCGACAATGGAGTGGCAGGCCACTGGAAAACCGACTGAATGACGACTTGCCAGAGTCAACGACTGCTAAGTCAATATGCCTGCGCTTTCCTTCTTATCATTGCCCCAGCAGCAGCGCGGCAGCTATCTGAAGGCCAACCGAATCGGCCTTCTTGCTTCCTTCGCTGTGGTATATTACCGCATGAGCCCAGTCGGCCACAAGCCTACCAAGTGACCTATCTCGCAGCATACTTGACAACGAAAACGCCACTCAGCGGCGATTCGTCTGGGAATTTCGCCAATGACCCTCCACCTTTGCTACAGCTGGGGTAGAGTGAGTCCTTCATAATATTTTCGATCGCCTGGCGCCATATACCACCGGTCTCGCTCTTGATTGGACTTCGTTTCATGCCACTCCGCCCCTGCTCTTCCTTGCTTCCTTTCCAAGCATACCCTTCTCGATTTCTATGTGGGTGTATTTGGTTGTCTCTCGAGAGAGAGGCAAACAGCACTCCGTTCAATATGCCACATCCCTTTTCACGACTCGACGATACCAGATAAAACTGTTGCTTTTTCCCGCTTTTTCCTCTTTTTCCTCTCTGTGTCTTCCATATCCGCCCTGAATGACCACTGTTTATTCAGTTCGGCACTTATACCCTCTGCTGTCCACGCTCAACCTTCCTATTCACAGCTTCCTGGTTTCTCTTTCGCTCCCTCTCAGCCGAATCTTGCTCCATCCACACACAAACGCACGCACACACAGTCCAATGGTTTGACTTGAAGCCATTACTTGTACATAGGATACCTGGTTCTTTCTTCTCTTGTATTTCTTGCCAGGCGCTGGGTGGGGTTTAATAGATATTCGATTTTCTTTCTAGATTTGATTCGAGTGTTATAGAGCCGGACAGTTGTAATCTTACAGAAAACCACTGATTCATTCGACCTTTCATGCCAGGCAGCATGTCCTCCCCGGGTCGTATAGAAGGTAAAAAATGAACCGTGAAATGTATAGTTAATAGCAAGGAATGTTGATACGGTTCATCTTTCAGGCCTTCGCTCTATAGTCCGTGGGAAACTCATCTATTCTCAGGGCATTCCAATCAAATTCAAGCTTTCTATCTAACTAAATTGTAGTTTTCTCAAGAGAATCTTATAACTATTTTATAGGTACATATGTATAGATCTCATACATCGAGAGCTCATAGTCACATGCTAGCTTTCAGCCCTACTCTCAAGCCCTGATAACCCGATATGGAAACCCAGATAAGAAACTCAGCCAGCCAGAGCGCAGCAATTAATACGTGAAGACCTTTAGACTATTCCCTTTCATTTTGAATGCTCAGATTCAATAACTACTTCAAAATGGCCGAGAACGTTGCAAAGAAGCTCAAGACCTCGTCCCCCTTGATCGGGACACACAAGTGAGCGCAATATTCCTGCCATTGCTACTCATGTAGCTCGATCTCCTCATGTACTGACTAAAACAGCGGACACTTCCACGCCGACGAGGCCCTGGCCGTCTACCTCCTCCGCCTGCTTCCCACATACGCCTCCTCCCCTCTCGTCCGCACGCGCGACCCAGCCGAGCTGGAGAAATGCCACACTGTCGTCGACGTGGGCGGCGTGTACGACCCCGCCATCCACCGGTATGACCACCACCAGCGGACCTTCTCAACGACCTTCCCGCAGCACGCCACTAAGCTCTCCTCCGCCGGCCTGGTGTACATGCACTTTGGCAAGGCTATCCTCGCCCAGAAGCTGTCCCTGCCCGTGGAGCATGCCGACGTAGCCCTGCTGTACGAGAAGTTGTACACAGACTTCATCGAAGCGATTGACGCCAACGACAACGGCATCTCCGCCTACGACCAGGCCGCGCTTGCCGCCGCCGGAGTCGAGAAGCGCTTCAAGAACGGCGGCATCACGCTCGCCTCGATGGTCGGCGACATGAACAACCCAGACCCCACCAGCCCGCCCGGCGAGCCCCAGGATGAGGACAGCCTCTTCGGACGCGCCAGCACACTCATCGGCAACGCGTTCGCGCGCAAGATGCACCACGCCTGCACGTCCTGGATGCCTGCCCGCACGACTGTCGGCTCCGCTTACGCCTCGCGCAAGGACACTCACCCCTCCGGCCGCATCATTGTCCTTCCCCAGGGCGGCGTGCCCTGGAAGGAGCACCTGTACAACTTCGAGGCTGAGGCTTCGGGAACTAAGGAGATTGACCCCGCTGCCCAGGCGTACTATGTTCTATACCCCGAGAACGCTACTGAGGGAGCCAAGTGGCGCGTGCAGTGCGTTTCCGTCTCCGAGAGCAGCTTTGAGTCTCGCAAGCCTCTGCCTGAGGCGTGGCGCGGTGTCCGCGACCAGGACCTTGATGGTGTTATGGCTGCGGAGGCTGAGAAGAATGGCCAGAGCAAGATCCCCGAGGGTGCAGTCTTCGTTCACGCTAGTGGATTCATCGGTGGCCACAAGACGAGAGAGGGTGCTATGGCTATGGCTGAGCGCAGCCTTGAGCTATAGGTTTTTGGTGGTTCGATGACAACTCAAGACTAAAAGAAAAAGTTGCATTTTTGATGAAATGTTCTATCTTATGACATCCAAAGGAAATCTATGATTTATTTTGACATGACCTTTTTTCCCTTTGCAACTCTGGGTCTTCAGGCATGATTGTAAATAATCAATTTGGCCCTGTATGAAAGCACTGGACATCACAAACGTCTGTCGTCAGTAGAATGCCCTGGAAGACTTTTCGAGGCTTTTCTACTTTGGTGTCCAAGATAGAGTAGACGTAGTCTTGATATATCTGGCATGTCAAATTCGGACTGCCAATTGAGCCCGATTGCTGTTTCTCGGTGGCAAATGAGTGAGAAGCCCTGGTATTCGGAAGGTGTAGAACCAAGCCTGGGAGATTGAGCCTTGAATGACCTTTCTCAGGTTTTATGGAATGGCGTTCAAGGCATTGGAGCACTTTTCCACGTGCTGACCGGAGCGAATGCTTTGCTACTAAGGAAGGACTGGCTTTTTGCGCTAAAATCCGAGGGCATCCGTTAAAGTCCGGGAGTCGAGCGTCTGGTATGCCAATCGATGTGGTGAAGTATGACCAAGCCCTCAGTGACGGATGTTCAATGCGCTGATATCTTCAATGCTTCCACTGCCATCTCCTGAAGTCGACATGTCCTTGGGTTCAGCCTGGGTGGCCGAATCCTCGCGCTCGCCCATTGCGCGTTGGATGAGTTTCGCTTTCGTAGCGGCGCCTTTGAGACGCTCGTCCACGTCATTAACAGCTTCCTCCGTATTACTCATATCAAGAGTAGCTGGATCGACGAGTTCAAGAAGCGTCTGGAGATTCCTGGCCAGACGAGTGCTGTGTGGTGGGAGACTGGACATGTCTTTGCAGATAGATGGATCAAGAGAAAGGGTATCCGTTGTGCTATCCGCCGGCGATGCGGTGCCTTCGGACGATTTCGTGTCGAGTCTTTGCGCCCAGACTAATGCCTTGCCATACAAGCGTCCCATCTCGACAAACTTCTCGAAGCCTTTCTCAACGGCGAAAACGCTGCCTTCGGTATATCCAGTAGCGGCTCCATCCGCGGTACCGAGCTCATATCCCTCATTGTAGAATTGCTCCTCCAGATCAAGGAGACTGTCCAGAAGATTGTGCTCCATGGTGGATATAAGATAGATATGAGTTAAAAGTTGAAGAGTTCGATAACGTTTTTTTTTTCTGATATGCGCGGGGCATGTGACGAGATGCCCACTTTCTGATTTTCCCGCCTTTGCCCCTCCAACAAAGACGTTCTCCCCTTCAACACCACAAGATGACGGACCCCATATTGCCCAAAGCCGGCGAGCGCAATATCCTCGTGACTAGCGCTTTGCCCTACGTGAACAATGTCCCCCATCTGGGCAATGTCGTGGGCTCCGTGCTGAGTGCCGATGTATTTGCTAGGTATGACTCAACCCCACACAGAATATAGCATTGCGCCATGAAGCTGACAGCTACTCAACAGATACCACAAGGCCTGTGGCCGACGCACATTGTACATCTGCGGTACAGATGAATACGGAACCGCAACTGAGACCAAGGCGCTGGAGGAGAAGATGTCGCCGGAGGATCTGTGCGCCAAATACAACAAGATCCACCAAGATGTGTACGAATGGTTCAACATCGGCTTCGACCACTTCGGTCGCACACCCACACAGAAGCACACCGAGATCTCGCAGTCGATCTTCAAGCGCCTGCACGAGAACGGCTTCCTCGGCGAGCGCACCGCCGAACAGCCCTTCTGCGAGCAGCACGGTTCGTTCCTGGCTGATCGCTTCGTGGAGGGCGAATGCCCCCGCTGCCACTACGACGATGCTCGCGGAGACCAGTGCGACAAGTGCGGCCATCTCCTCGATCCCTTTGATCTCATCAACCCGCGCTGCAAGATCGACGGCGCTGCCCCCGTCCGCCGCGAGACGAAACACATCCACATCCTGCTCGACAAGCTCCAACCGGAGATTGAGAAATGGGCCCACCCCGCTATCGAGAAGGGTAACTGGCCTAGGAATTCCCGCATTATTACCGAGTCCTGGTTGAAGGAGGGCTTGAAAGACCGTGGTATCACCCGAGACTTGAAGTGGGGTGTTCCCGTCCCGCTGGAGGGATACGAGAACAAGGTTCTCTACGTGTGGTTTGAGGCTTGCATCGGTTACCCCTCGATCACAGCCAACTACACAGACGACTGGGAGAAGTGGTGGCGCAATCCGGAGGATGTGCAGTTGTGGCAGTTCCTGGGCAAGGACAACGTTCCCTTCCACAGCGTGATCTTCCCCGGCACGCAGATCGGCACGAGAGATAAGTGGACCATGTTGCACCACCTAAGCACGACGGAGTACCTCAACTACGAAGGCGGCAAGTTCAGCAAGTCGCGCGGTGTGGGTGTGTTCGGAACGAACGCCCGTGAAACCGGCGTCTCCGCCGACGTGTGGCGCTACTACCTGCTGAAGAACCGCCCAGAGACCGGCGACACTCAGTTCGAGTGGGGTCCCTTCGTGGACAGCAACAACGGCGAGCTCCTCGCCAAGCTAGGCAACCTCGTCAACCGTGTCATCAAGCTCGTCACCGCTTCTTACGGCTCCGTCATTCCGGAATTCACCGTGCCAGAGACCTTCAACCCATTCCTAGAGGAAGTCACCGGACACCTGCGCCAGTACCATGAAGATCTGGAAGGCGCACACCTGCGCGCCGGA